TTGATTTTTTACTTGCAGCCACGTTCAAGGAGGCTTGCTGCACTCCCAAGGATCGTAAACTTCTTAACATTTGTAACTGTAATCACAGGAACATCAAGCTGCTTGCAGGTGGTCTTACAGACTCTAGCTTTGGCACTCTGAGGAGATCAGGAAGAAATTCATAGACCAGACAACTGTGCCCTTTGTTTTCTCTGGACCATATTCAGTGTGGGACACGATGGCACAAAACAGCAGTGACTACTTTTCTCAATTTAAAGCTGAACTCTAATTTTTAGACTGATACTTGGCTAGCCTACTTTAAAGTAGTTGTAAAGGCTCAAGGTTTTTTGCCTTCATGCATTCTATTCTTGAAGGTAAAAAACCTGTGTGCAGCAGCCCTGCCCCTGCAGAGTTTCTGTTCAATGACCATGCTCCATGGAATAGTTTATATTCGACAATGGTTTCTGTAAATAAAAGCAAAGCAAGGGTGGCTTTATATACCTACCGCTATTTGTTATATTTTGCCCACAAAATGTTACTCATTCACAACACTCTGCTACTTAGTGTATTTCCCCTTGACTTAACCAGAATAGTATGGGACTGGGACCCTAAAAACTACAGATTTGGGTTTATTCTCAATATATATCGCTGCATAAAGAAACACACGAGGTAAAAAGCTGAACATATTTACCCTCTAAACAAAAGCTACAAAACTGCACCTGTAAGTAACCTGTCACCTCTAGCTGTGTTTCTTCTGATTCCTGGCTGCTTGAGAACGCACTAATTAGATCTGCACCATTAGAAACCTCTCCCGAACTGGAATCTAACACCAAAAGGGAATCTCCTTCACTGCCCAGGTTCATGCTGCTGGAAGAATTGTAACATGCAGTTAAAAGTGATAATATTGCCTATGTTACCATCAAGTATTAACACAATCCTCCTTGGTAGCTAGGCTGAGCACACGTGTGATCAGCTGGTTCTGTGACTAGGCTGTTTTATATCTTGTTACATGAATATAACAATGAATCTATAAGTTTATAAGGCATTAATATAAACTGTATAAAAAACACTGCGCTTCTTTAGATTCTGAACCTAACACGACCGCTGAAAGATCAATATAGGGCCAATGGTTCCTTGATATATGCAAAATAGGCAGCTGTGTTACGAATGCATCTACATCTTGTTGTTCACCATTTACATGCTTCAAAAGATGCAGAAAGTTGCACTTTAACAGCAGGGTTACACAAAAGTAAGCAGAAAGAGAATAGCTCCTTCACAATCAGCAGAATAATAGCAATAGCAATTTACACTGCCAATCTTTTGCAACCAATGGAAAATCTCATTGTGCATGGCATGCAGTTACCACAGGTTGTATCTGCATCACAAGGCAAAGAAAAACATTTCTTTGAACTTTCCCATACACTTATTTGTAAAAAATCAGACAACTCTACCCTCTACATCTAAAGGTGAAGACCAGGCCTTTTCTGGTAACAAGTAATCAGTATTTTTGCTAGAACATTTCTTAGAATATTTATGTCACACTGTATTTTTGCACTTGTTTTTCAAACACAATTCCCCCCAAAATAAGTTAAATTTTAATGCCAAAAAAAAAAAAAAAAAAATTTTTTTTTTTTTTGTAAAATATAAAAGATGAATAGATGCGAAATAGGTGATACTTTAAAATGTACTATCCATAGGAGACGCTTTAAAAGCCTTTACAGGTTACCACTTTAGATTTACAGAGGAGGTCTGGTGCTCTGGAATTACAGACCATTACAGACCATGATCCAACATTCCCGGTGAAACCTCACAAGTGTGGGTCGAACATTGTTGGCATGCCAGACGCGTGTGTTTGCCTTTGCATGGAAGCACTTTTTTAATATTTTTACACTGTTCCTTTAAAAATAATTTTCGATCACTTATTGCTGTCACAAGGAATGTAAACATCCCTTATGACATCAATAGGCATGTGACAGGTACTCTACAGGGAGATCTGGGGTCAATAAAACCCCAAATCCCTCCTCAGCCCTGAAAAGCATTTATTCACACCAAGATCGGTGTAATTAAATGCTTCTCTGTTAACCACTTGCCCTCCTGAGGATTTACTTCCCTTCCTGACCAGCCCATTTTTTGCATTATGGTGCTGTGTTATATTAACTGACAATTGCACTGCTGCACTCAAATGAAATTTACGTCCTTTTTTTCCCCATGAATTGAGCTTTCTTTTGTTGGTATTTGATCGCCTGTGTGGTTTTTATTGATCAGTGCTAGCAAAAAAAAAAAAACAAAAAAACACTGACACTGTACTAATGGCACTGGTCAGAAAGGTGTTAACATGAAGGGTGATCAAAGGGTTAACTGTGTGCTGAGAGTGTTTTACTAGGGGGCCATGTGTGTGGGCTTTACTGTAATCACACTGCTCTGGATGGCTGTGCACAGCAATTCAGAGCAGTGTGTCCGAGCAGACAGGGAGGAGGGCTGTTAGTAAACAAAGCAGCCCTCCTCCCTGTCGGAGATCCTCGGTAATCACAGGGTGATGGCGGGGACCCAGTGATTGACAGCTGTGGCCGCAAATGACGGCACAGGTAGGGCGCGCGTGTGCGCCCCCTACCCGGAAATGCAAAATCCTGTATATGTACACAAGTGATTTTGCGCACCCCTACCTCCCTGTAGCAGTAAATCTGCTATAGGGCGGCGGAGATGTGGTTAAAAATGGTGCTGTTTAGTTCCGGGTAAACAGGAAGTGATGTCAGGTCATCGCCTCCAGGCTACTATATAAGCAGGCTACTACAAAAGCAGTTCAAGGGGTGGGCAAAAGAAAGGAAGAAAGCAAGCAGTGGCTGAGACACTATCACAGCACTAACTACAAACAGGTAATGCAGGAATACCTCCTTCTGATGAACTGGACCCAGACAGAGGAATGGAAGAATAAGGTGCTGGTTGAGGTGAAATGCCGAAAGTGTCTTAGGTTAGAAGGACATTCTGGGATTCACCAACACCTTGCTACTATGTAAGACCAGAAAAAGTTCTTTACAGGATCATACAGCCAGCTCAGACACTCACAGAGGTGATGGCTACAGAATAACATCACCTTATGATTAAAGGCCAAGATCACCTTTAGAACATGGCCCTCACATTCCTTCTGTACTGAAGTGTATTGTAATTGTATTGTCTCCGTTATATTGTAAAGCGCTGCGCAAACTGTTGGTGCTATATAAATCCTGTATAATAATGATAATGGTACATTTGCATTTATTAAAACAAAATCTGTATTTAGGTTGTAACATGTTTCATTCCCAGTACAAAGATTCAGGCAGAAAGCTGAAGGGAAAGTATGCAGGAGCCTGACAATGCACCTATGATCCACTGATTGCTCGTACAATGCTTTGCAGGCTTCTGTAGGAACAAATAAGTGGAAAATTTGTTTCTGCAAAAATATGTGCATTTTTCTTTTCCTTAAAGGTAAACTCCACCTTCAACAACAGAAAGTGGAATACAGCTGATGGGTTCAAAGAGTATTTTTTTTAAGTGCCAAAAGAAACAAATTCAGATCCCACGGAGTCACAGTGAAAGTGGGAACCAAAGCCACCCAATAGAAAAAGGTCCTAGTCAGGGAATATTGTCACAAACATGACTATCTGGGTTATGCTATTGCTTTAGGTGAAAGGACGCTAGCAAAAAAAAAAAAAAAAAAAAAAAAAATTCCTCATCCAGGTACAACCATTCCTACCTTAGCGAAGCCTCAGTTTTGTGGCACGAAATGAGAACACAAGCAAGATGGAGGGACCCTGTGTTGTATGCCAAGAATAGAATTTAACAGGTAATCCAAAAATCCTGATTTATTAATTGTATATTACAGGTCACATTAGGGTTTCTGGGACGGATTAGAGAGATTCTGATTGGTCAAAGCAGTCACTGACCATTCAGAATAACTGATCCGTCTTAGCCCCCCTAAGGAAAGGTGGGAATAAAAGCAGGGAAATCCCCAGACTGCTACACTAGCTGTGTGGGCACTGACAGTTTATCACCCACAGAGAATGAGTGCATTCCATTTTTTTTTTCTGAAAAGGTGAACTAACTAACTAGACCACAGGTGCATCCTTCCCACAATAGCAGATGCTAAACACAGCCGGACACACAGAGGGGGCAAACCTTTTTATCAAGGTGCTCAAACTCACAAATACTCAAACTTCGCCACCGGCAAAAACTGAGCAAGTGCCAAAGCAACACCAGTGGCCCCGGAAAGAGCTTCAAGGCCAAATTTCACAAGAACAGGGTCTGTAAAGCACAACACAGATCCAAGTTACTGAAGGTCACTTTCAGGTGGGTCCCGCAATGTCCAGTCTAGTGGGGTCAGAGTACAGCACACCAAAGCTAGGCTGAGAAAAAGCTGATCCAGACAGCTGCCATGTTGAAACCTGCACAAGCTGCTTTGTAGTAAGAAATTGGATTTTTACCAGCCATGCTGAGGAAGTCCACTATTCTCTAAAGACACCAACAGAAAACGGAGGCATGCTGGTAGTAAGAAGGGTTATCCTGAACTGGCCTACGGTTTGTCAGGGCCAATGCTCCTATAGGCAGCAATATAACCCTAAGATGAAGACTTCCTTGTTCCATCAATGCATAAAAAAATAAATAAATCCGCTTTACTACTGTCCAGCATAAACAGGCCACATATTTGTAACAGGTTGCTCTAAGTTACAGCACACTATACTGCTGTCCAGTAAACACAGATCAACAGATTTCTGACTAGTAGCTCTAAGTTGCATACTATTTAGACTGCCTTAATGAAGCTCTCAGACATGCCATAGTTTAAAATCTCATGCAGAGGAATGACAGTCTTGTCCTCATATGACCCAAACCCATTGCAATCATCTTGCTGACCTGGTCAAAACGTGCTATAAACACATTAGTGCCCATTTTCTTACATTGTGTTAAAACTGTTGTGTTATCTACAACTATTCTGAGAAATGTGCCTAATATAAATTTACATACTGTACTACTGCCAAATATTTCACAGCTCACCTTTGTAAATCCATCTGCCTTTGTGCTGTCTTTTTGGCTGCTTGATCGTGTTTTGGTACTTTCGCATTGCCCACCTCAATTCCTGCTGGGCTATCTTGATTGGCTGATGCTCTCTTGCGCCCTCTCCCAGATGGCTTGCTTGAGTCATCATTTTTTGCTGCGCTACCCTGAGATGCAGACTTTGGAGGTCGCCCCCTTCTTGGCTTTGGTGGTGGCGCCTGAATTACATCATCTGGCTTCTTCTCCTCTGAATCCTTCTGAATATTTTCTGCACCTGGTGACGGCGCCGATCTCTTCTTTCCTCGCTCTGAACCAAGGTTAGGTGTTGTAGACTGATCTGAATTTACCTCCTGAAAAAGGTAAGCTGCTAGTTAGAAATCCTGCTATAAATCCTTTAAAACTATAGATATACAGTTTCATTAAAGCTGAACTCCAAGTCAAACAGCTAAATACACATTTGAAATACACATATGGAAAAGGTTTTACCATCCTGTGACTTGACCAGTGAAGGGGAAACAAGAGACCGATTAGGTCTCCTTTCTGTACTCTTCCTGTCAGCATGTACACTGCAGGACATTTTGATTGGCTTTTAGCATTGCCCTAACCTCTCCCCGTCTGAGTGCTGCTGTACAGCAGAGAAAGGCTGAAATCAAATAAAATGTAGGTATTTAAAAGTACATCCTTATTAACCACTTGCCCTCCAGAGGATTTAAAAAAATTGGACTGCTAAACAGAGTCAGCAAGGAGGGATTGCTCAGCCAACCCGGCCCCCCAAAGAAGAGACAGACTTCAACTATATACCAAGAATAGGATAATGCCAGTACAATCAAGCCAGTTCCAGTAAACAAATGTTTCAAAGAGATATCCTAATGTATTAACCACAGGAAAACCAGGGCATATATTTAAACTGTGGTCCATATGGGCAGACAATATGATGTAATGCAGAGGTATAAGCCTGAGTTTATCCCTCTAAACACCTTACAATGTAAGCAAGGTACCCAGGATCCCCCAGCTGTGTCCACATCTGGGGGATCCTGGGTACCTTGTTGACACTGTAATGTGTTAAACAAATAGCAAAAAAAGCCCTGGTCATGAAGTAGGTAAAACCTTCTGGAGGTCAAGTGGTTAATCTGACTCAAACTGATGACATCAACACAAAAACAAAGTCAACCCCACAGGCCCTTACAAAGCTGTAACTGCAATTGTAGGCTGACTGCCAATTAAGTAGACAGAATGTTAACATAAGTTAGCCTTTATTTAAGATCAATCACAGCAGATATGTAAAAATAACAAAAAAGTCATAAACAGAGATGATGACCTACCTTCGTCTTAACAGAATCCACTTTGACTGGTGTTACAGGAAGTCGGACCGGATTCTCTTCATTTTCACTGACCCCTGTTTCAGATACCTCAGAAATCTGATCCCTAAGGTATAAAAAGAAAAAAAAAAAAAAAAAAATTAGCCTAGTCCACCTGCATACTTAACATGGACGGTCAGCAAGACTGGTTGATTAAAACTGCACTAAACGATATCCTTATGCTCCAAAAATAGTTCATAAAATCCACTATATAATGGCCCTGTAATTAGGTTTTCTTCAAATAATTTTTTTACGGTACATTTTCATGGCTCCATGTAGTATCCTTCATGAGCTCCTGAATCTCTCCTTTTCCCCCCTTACTTTCCATTGTTTGGAATGAGAAGTGCTTGTTATAGTCATGGTCACTGTTCTAGGCACACTACACATTCCAGTCCAAAATCCTAAGTCCATCTTGGCAGCGCACAAGGGGGTGGCTATGCTCCTACAAATACTGGGCACATGGAGAATGAATGTAGCCAGCCACTAGCAGGATGTTGGACCACAGAACCAAAAAGAAAGGGATTTGGGGAGTCAGAAGAGGCAGGGGTCAATAGGTTTTTTTTTTTTTTTTTTTTAGGTAGTGATTGTAAACCTTTGATTTTTTTTTTTCTTAAACATGTTATACTTACCTGCTCTGTGCAATAGTTTTGCACAGGCAGCCCCAATCCTCCTATCAGGTTCCCCAATGGCTTTCCTGGCTGCTCTCTCATGCATGCCACTTGCTATACAAGCATTTGTGCGTGCTCATTCTCGAGCCCCGCTCTGTGTGTCCATAGACGCACTGGCTGTTATTGACAGCAGCAGCAGCAGCCAATGGCTCCCACTATCTTGGAGAGATAGAGTGCCACTGCCCTTGTGCACATCACTGGATAGAGATCCAGGCTCATGTAGGGAGAGAGAAGACCACATAATACATTAAGGTAAAAAAAAACCTAGCTTTTCAACCACTTTAACATATACACAAATAATATTTTATGTCACTTAAAGCGGTACTGAACTCAAAGCCAAAAATTTAATATAAAATCGCATCTTCCCAACTGTTCACTACAATCGCTGCATTAGGGGTTTTTTTTAGGGCTTTTTCACCTGGTAATCTGGCCAGTAACTCTTCCTGTACTCGAGTGTATATACTCTGGATGAAGAATCACAGAGATACTTTAACATAAGCTGATCATTGTAAGCACCCCTGTCAGTGGTAAATGGTTTGACAAAACTGCTACATCTGCAGGACAACTTGGTCTGTTAAAAAAAATTTACTGGCTGCATCATCAGGTGAAAGTAAAAGAAAGCCTAAGGCCTGGTTTACACCTATGCGTTTTTGCAGAAAAGCACTACAGTCCATTTAACATTGTTTGCTATGGGACACTGACATCTATGCTTTTTGAAAAGGAACAGGGACTTGCTTTTTTTTTTAAATTAAACTTAAAATGGTGTGTTTTTTATTCAACAGACTTCAATGGAGACGCTGCAGAAAAGCATTTAGGGATTTTGACGTGTTTTTGACACATTTTGCAATCTGCACAACAAACTAGACAAAAAAAAAAAGGGGGGGGGGGGGGGGGAGGAACAAACCACAAAACGCATCAAAAAAAGTGTGCAAAAATGCACTGCAAAAAGCACTGTGGAAACGGATCAAAAGCAAACTGCATATGTGTGAACCAGGCCTTGAGAAGAAAACTGGAACAGCCACCACATCTAAGAATTGATAAGATGGAAATATAATAAATGTTTGCTTTTGGGTTTGATACCGCTTCAAGGGTCTGAGTTCACTTTCGAACTGCTTTTTTTCCCTCTAATACAAGACAATGGGAATCCAGAAGCAAATTGATGCAGCTTACGGGGTCAAATGCTGGTTAGAAGCGGGCAATGGGCAGGCAAGCACAGGTAGTCCATGTGCTGCTTTACAATAGGGGAATCAATGTAATTGGGCAAAGTTTAACCTAACCAATTTCTTTTTTCCTCAAGACTGGTCATTTGGGGCCAACATCTAACATGTATTGGCAGTAGAGCACATGATAAAAAGGTCTACATGTTTGTATGTACCTTTGCCGTACAGAGTCAGATTCAGAAATCACACTGGTGTTGCTTCCAACGTCTGATCCTGTACTTCTGTGGTAAGGCCGCCTGCCAGCAGCTGATAGAGGCTTGTTTAGAGCACCGAGAACGGAGGTTGGCTTTGGCTAGAAAAGCAGTACATTGTTACACAAGCAGTTCATCTTTAATACACATCAGAATAGAGTTGTTACATAAATAAAAACTAAATGCCTCAATAGAGCTTATGAAATCATATTTCCCATGTGTATTTAAAATGGTCCTTCACTCTGGGGAAAATAATTAATAAAAATCATCAGCTGCAAATCCCTTAGCTGCTGACTTTTAATAAAAGGGCGCTTACCTGTCCCGGGATCCAATACTGTCCTCACCCGAGCTAGCCTTTGGGTTTCCCAAGGCCGACACCCTAATTGTGGGCAGTCGGCTAGCTTCACAGCCGGCTGCGCTTTTTGAATGGTTTTGCAGTCTTCTGAGACATGTGACAGGATTTTGGGGGGGGGGGGGGGGGGGGGGGGTGGTTTGCGTTTGGGGGGGGGGGGGGGGAACTTTTGCTCCCAACGCCTAGGCAAAACTGTCAAAACTTACCTTTCCGGTTAGTAGATGAACCCTAGTCTCCTCAGATATGAAGCTCTTATCATTGACAAATTCCTAGAAAAGAAGAAATACATTTTTTGAATCTCTTCCTTGCAGTCTATTGAGTATAAGTTTTTACTTTTAAAGTGGAGCTCCAGGTATTATCTTTTTGCAAACTTACATTGGTACAGCTTGCCTTGATATCTGGAGGGCCACTGGGGGTAATGAAAATCACTGCAGCAGTCTGTGTTACATAAAGTGATAGTTATGATCTTTGGGGTGCTGCCCCAGTTGGGTACCCCTCTGCACTTGGCAGCACCTCCATTTGTAGAACACCTTTTTTCAATTAAGGTGTATTCTGATTGAATGAGGAAGTACCTGCTATCTGCCCCAAATCTACACCTCAACAAATCACAGAATGCTGTGTATTCATTGGGAAGGGAAAAGGGGGCGATACAAACTCTCTGAATAATGGTGGCGGTGCTAGGCGACGGACTGTGCGTGCTTTATCGTGCAGAAGCTGTTGGAGCAGCACCTAGAAGATTGCTGTATGTAGGTTAGACTACTGGAGTGATTTCAACTAACCCCTGCAGCCATTCAGATATCTAATGTGGATATTTACATCAAGAAAGGTTGGACCAATGTAAGTTTGCAAAAAAAAAAGTAATTGATCTCTGCTTTAAAGCAGCATTAACAGGCCCTTGCTGGGAGGTACACTGATGTCGCTAGTGACATTAAAATACTGATCAGAAGCAAGCTGGCAACGTATTTTTACATGAGCTGAGCTTCCACCTGCCACCCGCTCACAGTACATTTATTGTGAGAGGGAGGCATGTGGAAACAGAAGATTTCTGAGACTTATTTTAAGTTCTCTCAGCTGAAGAAAGCAAATCCTGGAATACAATTCAAGTAACACTGTACTTCTTGAAGATGTTCTCAAAACAAGAGGAATATGCATTTCTACCACTAGGGGGAACTGCTGCGGAAAGGCTCCAGATAAGTTTGTTTGTGGGCTCCATTCTGTACCTCCTACAGAGTGATTGTTGGGATACAATAGACACTAGTTTCTGTCCTCCTCTCAGGCCTTAAAGTGTTACTAAACCCATGATCCCGCATTCACTATAACTGGCCTCCCACAGTATACAGAACATGGAAATGCAATTATTTTAGTAAATATATATTGTTAAATACCTTTTATCATCAGCAGTATATAGCAGTCTTGTGACTTCTATCAGAGACCAGCGGAGTACTGGTTAAAGCTTGTAGCAGGACTTTTCATTCTGTTCTGACTGTCCTATGAGTATGCATAACCCCTGAACCTCTGTCTGGACAGTGCTGCTTAGCCCTATGCGGATCACATGCACCCTCCCAAAGAAAAGAAAAGAAAAAAAACACACACTAAACTGAGCATGTGCAGAACAACTCCTAGAGCTCTGTACTTTTAGATAGATTGGGAAGAGTAGAAGGGGAGGATTAAAGAAGACAGGATCAAACAGCCTTTTTACACAATGTGGAGGCTTAAACCCTTTGGTTACACAGTGAGTATAACTAACATGCTTTGCTGCATATATAGACTGATTGTACTGTTGTGGGTTTAGTAACACTATGATAGGAAAGAGTAAATTTGTCTGACAAATGTGTTTAATTTTATAACCTTTAAATGACTATTAACCACTTGACCTCTGAAAGATGTACCCCCCTTTCTGACCAGGCCATTTTTTGCGATACGGCACTGCACTATTTTAACTGACAATTGCAAGGTTATGAAATTAAATTTACAGGTGAAACTAGAAAAAATTAGAATATCGTGCAAAAGTTCATTTATTGCAGTAATGCAACTTAAAAGGTGAAACTAATATATGAGAGACTCATTACATACAAAGCAAGATAGTTCAAGCCGTGATTTGTCATAATTGTGATGATTATGGCTTACAGCTCATGAAAACCCCAAATCCACAATCTCAGAAAATTAGAATATTGTGAAAAGGTGCAATATTCTAGGCTCAAAGTGTCCCACTCTAATCAGCTAATTAAGCCATAACACCTGCAAAGGGTTCCTGACTCTTTAAATGGTCTCTCAGTCTGGTTCAGTAGGAATCACAATCATGGGAAAGACTGCTGACCTGACAGTTGTGCAGAAAACCATCATTGACACCCCCCATAAGGAGGGAAAGCCTCAAAAGGTAATTGCAAAAGATGTTGGATGTTCCCAAAGTGCTGTATCAAAGCACATTAATAGAAAGTTATGTGGAAGGGAAAAGTGTGGAAGAAAAAGGTGAAAAGGCCATTCAAAAGTGTTGGGGACTTTCACAAGGAGTGGACTGAGGCTGGAGCCCATGCATCAAGAGCCATCACACACAGACGGATCCTGGACATGGGCTTCAAATGTTGTATTCCTCTTGTCAAGCCGCTCCTGAACAACAAACGTCAGAAGCGTCTTACCTGGGCTAAAGAAAAACAGATCTGGTCTGTTGCTCAGTGGTCCAAAGTCCTCTTTTCTGATGAGAGCAACTTTTGCATCTCATTTGGAAACCAAGGACCCTGAGTATGGAGGAAGAATGGAGAGGCACACACTGCAAGATGCTTGAAGTCCAGTGTGAAGTTTCCACAGTCTGTGTTGATTTGGGGAGCCATGTCATTTGCTGGTGTTGGTCCACTGTGCTTCATTAAGTCCAGGGTCAACGCAGCCGTCTACCAGGAGATTTTGGAGCACTTCATGCTTCCTTCCGCAGATGAGCTTAATGGGGATGCTGACTTCATTTTCCAGCAGGACTTGGCACCTGCCCACATTGCCAAAACACCAAAACCTGGTTCAATGACCGTGGGATTACTGTGCTTGATTGGCCAACAAACTCGCCTGACCTGAACCCCATAGAGAATCTATGGGGCATTGCCAAGAGAAAGATGAGAGACATGAGACCGAACAATGCAGAAGCTGAAATGAACATCCTGGTCTTCCTCACCTCAGCAGTGCCACAGACTGATAGCTTCCATGCCATGCCGCATTGAGGCAGTAATTGCTGCAAAAGGGGCCCAAACCAAGTACTGAGTACATATGCTTATACTTTTCAGAGGTCCGATATTGTTCTATGTACAATCCTTGTTTTATTGATTGCATGTAATATTCTAATTTTTTCTGAGATTGTGGATTTGGGGTTTTCATGAGCTGTAAGCCATAATCATCACAATTATGACAAATCACGGCTTGAACTATCTTGCTTTGCATGTAATGAGTCTATCTCATATATTAGTTTCACCTTTTAAGTTGCATTACTGAAATAAATGAACTTTTGCACTATATTCTAATTTTTAGAGTTTCACCTGTACAGTGGGGCAAAAAAGTATTTAGTCAGCCCCCAATAGTGAAAGTTCTCCCACTTACAAAGATGAGAGAGGCCTGTAATTGGCATCATAGGTAGACCTCAACTATGAGAGATAAAATGAGAAAAAAAATCCAGACAATCACATTGGCTGATTTGGAAAGAATTTATTTGCAAATTATGGTGGAAAATAAGTATTTGGTCACCTACAAACAAGCAAGATTTCTGGCTCTCACAGACCTGTACCTTCTTCTTTAGGAGGCTCCTCTGTCCTGCACTCATTACCTGTATCAATGGCACCTGTTTGAACTTATCAGTATAAAAGACACCTGTCCAAAATCTCAAACAGTCACACACTCCAAACTCCACTATGGTGAAGACCAAAGAGCTGTCGAAGGACACCAGAAACAAAATTGTAGACCTGCACCAGGCTGGGAAGACTGAATCTGCATTAGGCAAGCAGCTTGGTGTGAACAAATCAACTGTGGGAGCAATAATTAGAAAATGGAAGACATACAAGACCACTGATAATCTCCCTCGATCTGGGGCTCCACGCAAGATCTCACCCCGTGGGGTCAAAATGATCACAAGAACGGTGAGCAAAAATCCCAGGACCACACGGGGGGACCTAGTGAATGACCTGCAGAGAGCTGGGACCAACGTAACAAAGGCTACCATCAGTAACACACTACGCCGCCAGAGACTCAGATCCTGCAGTGCCAGACATGTCCCCCTGCTTAAGCCAGTACATGTCCGGGCCCGTCTGAAATTTGCTAGAGAGCATTTGGATGATCCAGAAGAGGATTGGGAGAATGTCATATGGTCAGATGAAACCAAAATAGAACTGTTTGGTAGAAGCACAACTCGTCGTGTTTGGAGGAGAGAGAATGCCGAGTTGCAGCCAAAGAACACCATACCTTCTGTGAAGCATGGGGGTGGCAACATCATGCTTTGGGGCTGTTTCTCCGCAAAGGGACCAGGACGACTGATCCATGTACAGGATAGAATGAATGGAGCCATGTATCGTGAGATTTTGAGTCCAAACCTCCTTCCATCAGCAAGGGCACTGGAGATGAAACGTGGCTGGGTCTTCCAACATGACAATGATCCCAAACATACCGCCCGGGCAACGAAGGAGTGGCTTCGTAAGAAGCATTTCAAGGTCCTGGAGTGGCCAAGCCAGTCTCCAGATCTCAACCCCATAGAAAACCTTTGGAGGGAGTTGAAAGTCCATGTTGCCCAGCGACAGCCCCAAAACATCACTGCTCTAGAGGAGATCTGCATGGAGGAATGGGCCAACATACCAGCAACAGTGTGTGCCAACCTTGTGAAGACTTACAGGAAACGTTTGACCTCTGTCATTGCCAACAAAGGATATATAACAAAGTATTGAGATGAACTTTTGATATTGACCAAATACTTATTTTCCACCATAACTTGCAAATAAATTCTTTCCAAATCAGCCAATGTGATTGTCTGGATTTTTTTTCTCATTTTGTCTCTCATAGTTGAGGTCTACCTATTATGCCAATTACAGGCCTCTCTCATCTTTTTAAGTGGGATAACTTGGACAATTGGTGGCTGACTAAATACTTTTTTGCCCCACTGTATGTTTTTGTAATTTCCCCCCACAAATAAAACTTTTTAGTGGTATTTGATCACCTATAGGGTTTTTTTTTGTGCTATAAAATGCAAGACTGAAAATTTTGAAGGGAAAAAAAATATATATTTTCTACTTTCTGCTATAAAAACATATCCAATAACAAAACTAAACAATCTAATTGCTTCATAAATTCAAGCCAATATATATTCCAATATATATTTTTTGTAGAAAAAAAAAATCCCTATAACCGTATATTGATTGGTTTGCATAAAAATTATAGTCTACAAACTATGGTACATATACTATAATTTTTTTATATTAGTAATGGCAGCGATCAGCGACTTATAGCGGGACTGCAATATTGTGGCGGACAAATCGGACACTAGCTGGCACTTTGTGAGAACCAGTGACACAAATACAGCTATCGGTGCTAAAAATATGTACGGTCACTGTACAAATGACACTGGCTGGGAAGGGGTTAAACATCTAGCATTATCAGGGGGTTAACTGTGTGCCTAGCTAAGTGTAATGGGTACGATGTGTGCTGTTTTCAGTAGGTAATGTGCTGGATTCTGTTTCCCTGCAGAGAATCCAGCACATTGCTGCTGACAGAACACAGTTCTGCCTTGTTTACATATCAAACATTTGACAAATCACAGCAGAAGAGGCACGCACCTGCACAGTGCAGCCACCCTATAGCAGTATATCTTCTATGGGGCAGTCGGCAAATGGTTAATGTTCTACACCATGACAGCATGTTTACCTAACAAAATACACCCCTGCATGCCAGAGGTGCCTGAAAGAAATTGCCCCAAGTGCACCTGCACAAGCCAAGTTAGAGAAGTCCGACATCCAAGGTTCCGAGAAGTACCCACATGAACTGCAGCTTCATTATTTCAAAACAAAACTAAAAGAATCAAAAAGCAATTTAAAATTTAGGCAAAACATTAAAGCTCCATTCATATTAAGGCATTTCCCAAAATGCTCTGCAAAACTAACAAATCGCACAATGCTTGTTCAGGTGCCATCCATTTTCAAAAGGCACCTAAATACGGGTGAGATTCTGGCACAATTGTTGTGCAAAAAATCATGCAAACTAAATCGAGCAAAGTTTGTTGCCCCAAACAGAAGCTCCTGCAAAAACCTCTAGATGTGAATGGTGTCTCATGTTTCTAAAAGCCCTAATAACGAACATAAGACATACCAAAAAATATTACCTTATCAGGTGGAGTAAAAAATCTAGTCGGCAACATTGGTTCCTTAGGAGTTTCTAGATGCACTGATGTAATTTTGCTGTTCATAACACATAGAGCCACATCACAGACTGTATATAGTTTCTAAGAAAAAAGCAAGAAATCCCTGTTTAATTTACAACTCATCAAAACTTGTTTCAGTGTAGCAGTGAACAGAACACTAATATATGTATTGACCACTATGCATAATAGATGATTCTGGTAAACAAATCACACAAAGCCAAATGCTTTGACATGCTGCTTTTGTCACTGTCTAATCAGGCATGCTTTCTTTACCAATTTACTCAAATTGCCAATGTGACAGTCTGAAAACAGACAGATGCATTGTTAATAAATTAAAAATAGCAGCTCAATCTCCTATACAAACAGTAAGTTGAATTAACTTTTTTTTTAATTTGGACATTTCATTCAGTTTTTTATACGTTACTTCTGCCATTAAAGCATTCCTTCCTAGTGTAATACTTCTCACTTACTGTGTACTGCAAGAACAGTGTTGTCATCCTAAGATGCACTAGGATATGGGTGTCAAACTGGCAGCCCTCCAGCTGTTGGCAAACTACAAGTCCCATGAGGCATTGCAAGATTGACAGTTACAAGCATGACTGCCAAAGGCAGAGGCATGATGGGATTTGTAGGTTCGCAACAGCTGGAGGGCCACCAGTTTGACACCCCTGCAGTGATATGCAACTACACAGTCAGTCTATGGGATTCATCCAAAAAAATTTTTCAAACAACTTTACTGACAAAAAGACCAGAACTTTCTCCACATCTCACAAAATCCTTTTCAAACTGATAAAAATGGATTGGGAGGGAGAAAACATCTTGCCAGGGTGTTTCCAATTTTCAAAGAAGATCCAAAACAGGGGATATCACTGGTAGAAGCAACATCCTAGCCTCACAGTGGTGCGCATCGCATCAAGAGCTGACTGACTTCTCAGAAGCAAACTCAGCAAGAACTGCAGCAACTCAAAATCATACAGGCTCAGAGACCTTGGGCAGAGCAGATAGACAATCTGCAGAGGAAGGTGCAGGAGCACATTCACTGCCCCTGCAGTCAAAGTCTGCAAGTTACTAAATGATTTGGGCAATAAAGTCTTGTAGGACTATAGTAAAAACCTCAGCCAAAAGGGAAGAGGAGCCTGTCTTGTCCAGCGGAGCTAGAGAAGATTACAAAGTAGGGATAGACATCAGTCACATAAGTAAACACTATACAAGCAAACTGGGGGCACCTGTTGAAAAGGGATTGTGGCAGTGTGATAGTCTCTTCTCTTGCTGGTGGTAGTATCTAATCTTCACATAGGTGGCAGCATAACCCAAAGGTGAATGACATCATGTGCCCCGAAATGGATGAGAAAGAAAACCCATTTTTGATAAGAGATACATAAGTGGAGTACATCACGTCCCTGCAGCACTGGCTGGGGAACAGTATGGGGCAAACACAGGAATCTGACACAAAGGACAAAAAGTGCACAAACACTACCAAATAAATGCTCCATGAATAATATTAGCAAGCTTATGCTAGTTTTCTGAATCATAATCTTTCCAGACAGCTGGGCTTTAAGCTGAAGTGTACACATTTACAGAAACCTCGAACTCCTTCCTGGAACTCCAAAACAGAGAAAATTCACGTTACAAAGCATTGAAAGAAAGGCTGACAATACAAATACATACCTCGTTAGCCTTTGGATCATCTGGTGCCTGAGCATCCCGAGTTTGTTTAATGTTCTCGCACATTTTCTTCATGAACATATGACTGTTATTTTCATTCTTAGCCATTAAAACTTCAAGCATAAACCAAAGGCACCTGTATGGGGAAACAATACTTCAGTGTTGTACAAAGATATACGTTTAGATTCTTACTGAATACATGTTCTACTAACCAGAACAAACAAAAAGTCTAGCTTGCAGCACCAGTGCAAGACATGCATATTTATGTGAATAAAGGCATGGAGATCACATACAGACAACAGGAATGTCAGAACTTCTAAACTGCATACTTGTTCTAGGCCAGCGATAGAGAAGACACAAACTATGATCACCACCACCAGGGGCGAACTGACCATTTGGAAACTCGGGCACTGCCTGAGGGCCCGGGATCAGTATGGGGCACCATGAGATGCTCCTGGTACCTTTTTCCATAGACTTTTTTGAGTTTGGGCAAGGACACAGGGGCCACATGATCCCCTATTGCCTGGGGGCCCCATGAGTTGTCAGTTCGCCCCTGACCACCACTTCAAGAGAGCTTGTACTGTCAAAAAGGATGTGTCTACAATGACAGTATCTTTGCTTATTCAGTACAGACTCCCTTTACAAAAAAAAAAAAAAATTCACTTTGGCGCTCCCCAAATCAGACAAGAAAGGATAAAGCAGCACACTGATTAGTTCTTCCCTTTGCTTCCACTTGTCAGGCAATGTACAAAGCAGCTGAGTCTAATTAGTAGTGCTGTCCCCCATTTGTGCACTACTTTACATGGGATTACAGGTTGATATCAAGACAAGATTTTAACACTTTTTCCAGCTGTAAAACCACATACAACTTTTAAACTGTTTTAAAAAACAAAAATGTAGCTAGGAGTAAATTTTTTAAAATATTTGTTTGAGACCCATTTCATGTACAGTCAAACAGTATATCACCTCAGTCACAAGCTTTCATAGATATGACAAACTGTAGTTTCAGATTGGGGTAAAAGTGAAAGCAGGTATAAATGTCATCTCTGCAGGTTTGGGACAGCAAGTCCAACCATAAAGTATTAGAATACTTACTCTTTGATATCACGTAATTGGTCAATATCCTGAGGTTTTGTAAAGTCTGGGTCATGAGCCAGGAGATGAATCATGTATGGTACAACATATTCAGGCAGTAAGGATAACAGCTTCTCTACGGAGACATGATCAAAGTAACAAATCAAGCTAAATGAACCGTTCCATTTGAGTTGTATCAATTTCCCAAATAAAAGGAAAACTAGAAGATGTTGCAAACAGGAGCCTGCTTTCAAATAAAGAATTTGGAAAAGACTATTTATTTTCACATGTGTAAAATTGTGATGAAACTTACCATTTGACACTGGATTCTGTTTTGTATATTCCCGTCGTATGCTAATATTCTTAAGTAAGCACTGCCTTGCATGAGCTCTTCTTTCTTTCACTGGGTCCTTGGCACACAGGGCAAAGATAGCCATATACTCAAGCGGAAGCTGCAACTTCACCAAAGCTTTGTGCAACTTCTGAGCAAATATCTGTCGCACTTGGTAGCACTCGTCCTACAGCAAACACAAGATTAGATAACTTAAAACTGTGGTAAAATATTCTAGCCTGGTCCTTGAAGTAAAGATTTAAATTGGTCAGATGAAAAGTTGGGACTAGATATCGTCTGAACTGAAACTTGCCAAACTAAATCAGAGTATAATGAGAGACACACATTTACGATATTAAGGAAAGTCTGAGTATAAGTGGGGACAATTTTTGATTATGTATAACTAGCAAAAATTTCCCTGCTTATTAAATTTGGTAACATCTGAAAGTCCTCGCAGCAAGAATAACCTCTGTTGGTGATTATAAGCAGTATATAAACAGACCACAGCTTTTAGAGTATGTAATTTACAGTACGATGTAATGAATGGGGCAGTCTAAAGTAGTGGCTCTCAACCTTCTGTTTGCCCATGCAAGAGATTATTATTATACAGTATTTATAAAGCGCCAACAGTTCACTCAGCGCTGTACATTACAAAGGGGGACAGAACATGCGACAGTACAGTAACAATACAATGCGATACACAAGGGGTTGAGGTCAACAATAGTTTTCAAAACCTTATAAGGAAAATTTTGACTTACAGTACCTGTAAATTCCATATCTTGGAGTACAGTACAGGAGTACCTTCAGGTGATTGGACACTGGCAAAGTTCTTCAGGGCATGCTCCCTGGGTGTTTCCCTTATAACCCCTACTCCATGAGTCTACAGTTTTGTAGCGAGCAAAGCAGAGTAACCAAGGAATACAAATGAGGGTTCCTTGTGTCCTTTACCGTCCTCCAAAACATAGAATTTATAGGTCAACAAGATGTTGTGCTGTGAAGGTCTCTATTGAGATTGGGCAAATAAAACCTTGAAGGAAGTTACCATGGAGGCCTAGAGCCCTCATGGATAAACATCTCACCGATGGATGTCTTATTGACCTCAACTCCAAAGCACAAGCTCGGAGACTGCACAGTCTCTTTTCTAGATGGAAACATTTTGCTTGACATGGGTCCAGGTTCAGACGTGGGTATTCCAGGTGAATAGAAGGCTGGAGAACCCAGAAAACCTGTGAACTGGATGCCATTAACTCTTAAGAAGGCCAAGAAGTGCAAGGACCTTTGTGAATACTCTGGGAGCAGAGGAAAAGCCAAAACGCAGGACAACAAACTGGAAATTATTTTCTTCCACAGTAAAGCACAGAATACGCTGATGAGGTGGATAAATGGGAATATGCAGATAGGCATCTTGGATGTCAATGAATACCAGATCTTCCCCTTGTCTCAGAGAGGCAATAACCAAACTTGTGAATCCCCTGTGAAATTTTGGAAATTGCAGGCATTTGAGGAATTTGAAGTCAGAATATGACAAATACCCCCACTGGACTTTGCTACTGTGAACAGATTTGAATAAAATTCTTTGAACCTGTCTTGTGAGGCTACTGACAACTACTCCCTGGGAAAAGAGATGAGGGGGTACAGTTTTGAACTCCGTTTTGTACCCCGTGAAACCACCTATTGAACCCACTTGGCCTAAGATGTCTGGGACCCAGAAACAGGCAAACTGTAACAGACATTCCCCTGCTACTAGGGGCGAGGACATTCTTGAGAAGAGGGATGTGGTGAAGACATGATGGCTTAGAAGGCCAAGTCTCATGCTGAAGGAAAGGCTGAACTAAAGCGCTCTGCATTTTGAGGACTTACAGTGCCTTGAAAAAGTAGTCATACCCTTTGAAATTTTCCACATTTTGTCATGTTACAACCAAAAAATGTAAATGTATTTTATTGGGATTTTATGTGATATACCAACACAAAGTGGCACATAATTGTGAAGTGGAAGGAAAATGGTTTTCAACATTTTTTACAATTAAATATCTGAAAAGTGTGGCGTGCATTTGCATTCAGCCCCCTTTACTTTGATACCCCTAACTAAACTAGTGGAACCAATTGCCTTCATATGTCAACACACCAGACAGCTCAGGGATATAGTTACGGAGAATTTAAAAGCAGGGTTAGGACATAGAAAGTATCCCAAGCCTTAAACATCTCACGGAGCACTGTTCAATCCATAATCTGAAAACTAGAAGCCTACCAAGACACTGCCGTTCACCTAAACTGACGGGCCAGGCAAGGACATCATTAGTCAAAAAAGCAGCCCAGAGAAGCAGAGTTACCAACCATGGTAACTCTGGAGGAGCTGCAGAGATCCACAGCTCAGGTGGGAGAATCTGTCCACAGGACAACTATTAGTCGTGCACTCCACAAAGCTGGCCTTTATGGAAGAGTGGCAAAAAGAAAGCCATTGTTGAAAGAAAGCCATAAGAAAGCCCGTTTGCAGTTTGCAAGAAGCCATGTGGGGGACACAGAAAACATGTGGAAGAAGGTGCTCTGGTCAGATGACACCAAAATTTAACTTGTTGGCCTAAAAGCCAAACGCTATGTGTGGCAGAAAACATACACTGCACATCACTCTGAATACACCATCCCCACATGAAACATGGTGGCGGCAGCATCATGTTGTGGTGATACTTTTCTTTCAGAAGGGACAGGGAAGCTGGACAGAGTTGATGGGAAGATGGATGGAGCCAAATACAGGGCAATCTTAGAAGAAAGTTATAGTCTGCAAAAGACTTGAGAATGGGATGGAGGTTCACCTTCCAGCAGGACGACCCTAAACATACAGCCAGAGCTACAATGGAATGGTTTAGATCAGTGGTTCTCAACCTTCCTAATGCCGTGACTTTAATACAGTTCCACATGTTGTGGTGACCCCCAACCATAAAAATTATTTACCCAGTAATTATAATTCATGAGTGTCGTTTTACCTCCAATACTGCTGCTTTCAACACAGTAGCTGCTTTTTTAACAGAGTAGCTGCTTTCAACACAGCAGCTGCTTTCTACACAGTAGCTGCTCTTTCTGATGGTCTTAGGGACCCCTGTGAAAGGGGCGTTCGACCCCCAAAGGGGTCGCGACCCACAGGTTGAGAACCACTGGTTTAGATGAAAGCATATTCATGTGTTAGAATGGCTCAGTCAGAGTCCAGACCCAAATCCAATTGAGAATCTGGCTAGACTTGAATATTGCTGTTCACAGATGCTCTCCATCCAATCTGACAGAGCTTGAACTATTTTGCAAAGAAGTGCAAAGCTGGGAGAGGCATCCCCAAAAAGACTTGCAGCTGTAATTGCAGCGAAAGGTGGTTCTACAAAGTATTGACTCGGGGCTGAATACAAATTCACGGCACACTTTTCACATATTTGTAAAAGATTTTGAAAACCATTTATAATTTTCCTTCCACTTCACAATGATGTGCCACTTTGTGGTGGTTCATCACATAAACCCCCAATAAAATACATTAAAATTTTTGGTTGTAACATGACAAAATGTGGAAAATTTCAAGGGGTATAAATACTTTTTCAAGGCACTGTAGACTCCAGAGAAGGGGTGGGGGTGAGTGGGGGTGTTGAATAGTCCACTGTGGAATGAGAACCTTCCCTATGAATTAGGTGCCTCACCAAAAATATGTCCTTCAAAAGGAGATACATACAAGATCTCATTCACACCATACATGCAAAACTGATGGAAAAACAGTGCAGATTTCACTTGCAGAGACATGAGTTTACACAAGTTTTCATGTACTAACCTAGCCATCACGTCAATTTTTTTTAATGTAACAAATTCTTTGCAAGAGCACAAAGACAATTGCTTTCTATGTGCCCTGTTAACGCCACAATGTTGTCACATCAGTTTATTTTCTGCCCAGAAAACTGCATACATGTTGAAAATTTCTGCACAGAAAAAAATCTGCATATGATACCAGTGTTATGGTGTGAACAGGGCACAACTGTTTTTTCTGCTCTTGCAGAACGCATGTGGGAAACACACATCTCTGCACATGGTGTGAACGAGGAATGTCCAGGCTTTAAGCCACAAGATTGAACATGTGAATGGAGATTACAGCCACTCTGGGCATTTTTCTTCATTACTTGTACTAGGGCAGCCACACAAGACCAAGGAAGAAGGTATCTGCTGTAACTGCTCACATAAGGCATGGCCCTGGAATACAGGATTGTGTTGGTTGTTCATTGCCCTAGTCCAGTTAGCTGTTTGACAGATCGAAACTGCAATAGCTTAGTTGCAGAGCTGGGACTGCAAAAGGAAAGAGCTTTTAAGAGCATCTCAAACTTGCTATCTGCAAAATCTTTGAATAAAGCAACATCTTCAATTGGTACGGTGAGATGAGGTGGCAGGATCAACTACAACAACAGACTGCACTTATTTGAACTATTTTTCCAGTGGACATAGACAATTATTTTATGGATTCACCCAATTGTCTTTTTTAGATTTAGCAGGTCTCTTTGTACCCTAAAGGGCATTGCGAAACAGAGGCAAGTCAAGTGCAATTAATGCCGAGGCTATCAGGCATGAGCATATTTACATGTGCAAGCATATTGCATCAAGCTGCAATTTTAGGTGTACAGAAGTCTGGTTGTAATAAAGCTTCTGCAGCCTCCTCTAATACTACCTATGGGTCTTCTTCCTTGCCTTCTCTGTGCACCCATTCTAGGCTGAGCATATTCAGATCTGCATCAGGGAGAGACAGTACAGTCAGAGAAGGGTCCTGGCGTTTTGGAGTCCTGGACAGATGTGGCTCTATTAAAGCTGATAGTTGTCTGAGAAATTGTGACAAAGTTGCAGAAAAATCTACCTTTATCAGGTAGGCAGCTTGTTGCACACACCTGAATTGGAATGAGAGACCAGTGTTAAAACCAGGTCCTGCTCCAGTGCAAGGGAAGCATCGTCACTCTGAGGTTGAGTGTTGTGCAAGCCTTTGGTAGAGTGAATGTTTGATTAAGCTTTTGCTGAGGCTCTCTTTCTCCTGGTTTCCATCATAGCTATGGTAGAGGGTGATCCCATAGGGCAGTGATGGCGAACCCGTGGCACGCGTGCCACAGCCGGCACGCCGAGCCTTATCTGTGGGCACGCCAGGAGAATACCGTATTTTTCGCTCCATAAGACGCACTTTTTTTCCCCCAAAAAAGGGGGGAAAATGTCAGTGCGTCTTATGGAGCGAATATAGAGCGGCTGGTCCGGTACTTCCACAGCCGCCGTGTCAGAATACCGGGCCGGCCGCTCAGCTCTGCAGTGGGACCGTACCTGTTCCTCTATCCAGCGGCGCGCTGTCTTCCCGGCTTCTGTAGTGTGCGTGACAGCCGGGTCCCAAGTGCGCATGCGCAAGAAGCAGTGCTCTTTGTGAATGGTAAGGCGGTACCTGGGACACATGACAGATCCCAGAAGCCGCCGGACCGCCGCTTCTTCTCGCGCATGCGCACTGGGCATCTGGCTGTCCGACGAGCGCCCACACTACAGAAGCCGGGTAGACAGCGCGCGGCTGGATAAAGGAACAGGTAAGATAAAACAAAAAACTCTGCGGAAGTAAGAGCGGGTACCTGTCAAATTCAGGTACCCGCTCCCCCTCCCTCCCCAAAGGTCAGCAGTCATCTGTACTGTCCGCAGTCTCTGGTCATCCCTGTGCTTTCCGCAGTCTCTGGTCATCTCCTGTACTGTCCGCAGTCTCTGGTCATCTCCTGTACTGTCCGCAGTCTCTGGTCATCCCTGTACTGTCCGCAGTCTCTGGTCATCCCTGTACTGTCCGCAGTCTCTGGTCATCCCTGTACTGTCCGCAGTCTCTGGTCATCTCCTGTACCGTGTCCGCAGTCTCTGGTCATCCTCCTGTACCGTGTCCGCAGTCTCTGGTCATCCCCTGTACCGTGTCCGCAGTCTCTGGTCATCCCCTGTACCGTGTCCGCAGTCTCTGGTCATCCCCTGTACCGTGTCCGCAGTCTCTGGTCATCCCCTGTACCGTGTCCGCAGTCTCTGGTCATCCCCTGTACCGTGTCCGCAGTCTCTGGTCATCTCCTGTACCATGTCTGCAGTCTCCGGTCATCCCTGTACTGTGTCCGCAGTCTCCGGTCATCCCTGTACTGTGTCCGCAGTCTCCGGTCATCTCCTGTACTGTGTCAGCAGTCTCCGGTCATCCCTGTACTGTGTCCGCAGTCTCCGGTCATCCCTGTACTGTGTCCGCAGTCTCCGGTCATCCCTGTACTGTGTCCGCAGTCTCTGGTCATCCCTGTACTGTGTCCGCAGTCTCTGGTCATCCCTGTACTGTGTCCGCAGTCTCTGGTCATCCCTGTACTGTGTCCGCAGTCTCCGGTCATCTCCTGTACTGTGTCCGCAGTCTCCGGTCATCTCCTGTACTGTGTCCACATTCTCCGGTCATCTCCTGTACTGTGTCCACAGTCTCCGGTCATCTCCTGTACTGTGTCCGCAGTCTCTGGTCATCCCTGTACTGTGTCCGCAGTCTCTGGTCATCCCTGTACTGTTAATTAGTTTGCACTACTGTACGAGTTGTTTTTTCTAAACCAAAAGCTCGATATTCAGGTTTCATTGCAGTGTTGGCACTTTGAAAGAAATAAGTTGGTTTTGGGTTGCAGTTTGGGCACTCGGGCTCAAAAAGGTTCGCCATCACTGCCTAGGGGAACGCATGGAATAAGGTGCGAAATATAGGGTAAAAGTGTATGGAAGGAAAACAGGACAACCCAGATGCAGACAATCATGTAGCAAAGTCATCATTGCAAAAGGGTGATAGGAAGCACCTGAAAACTGTGTGGCTCTAACGTGTGCTTTCAGTAATGTGATGCAAAACCTGGTCATCCGCCTGAGACAAAGCTCTGAGTGGTTGAGAATTAACATCATGTTTGAAAGGTTTTCACTATAAAAGTGAATACGTGCCAAACATCGTTCACGTTTTTTACGTTTTTACAGGGTCAGAGATACAGGGTGCACAACACTGGTCCCCATATATGGGTCAAAGCTTCGCCTACAATGGTGGGCATACCGCTGAAGGGGTCTTCAGAGTCCAGATTCCACAGGGATGGACCATGTTCCTGTACCTGTATGGAAACCTGCGGCTGACTAGATGTGCTGCACAAAGTGCAAAAGACAGCACAGGAACCAGTACCCAAATCAACATTAGAGGCAGTCCCAGCAGCGTGGGCTCCTGGCTCAAAGGTTTTTATTTTTTATGGAGGTTCACTACTTCTATTGTGGTATTAGTAGACTATGAAGAATTGACTGAGGAATCTGAAGATAAAATAATAAACTTAGTTACGTAGAGTGATTTCTAGGTCTATGACATTAATTCACTAGCAAAAAACTGAGGACTCATTGAGTGGAATAGGGTTAGTGGGGAAATTCAGGGGGTCCTCAAAAGCTTTACCAGTGTTAAATCAACCTGAAGGTACAAGCCTATATCCCAGGGTCTAGGAATACTCAGCCTGTGTCCTGCACAGTACAAATAAAATAGTATTTTTACATTTAGTTGCAGTTGACTGAAAACTTACATTAATAACCAGTGCACATAACTGGAACTGCTCTGGAGTGATAATTTCATGGTAACATGGCTCCTGGGCTAGCTTCATAATGGCTCCACCAGCTGCTAATCTTAGACGAGACATATCGGACTTACTGAAACACAGGAGGAGATTTCTCATAAAAATCATGACCAATTATTCATCAGTAAATATGACTGTTTTATACAAATACATGCATCAATAGCAAGGCAGCTATATTTTATAATTGAAGCTGTTTTAGCAGTGTTTACAGTACAGGGTATATCAATGGTATCACCCACTGCTTGTAGTTGATGTATATCTGAAATGAGTAAACAAGTCCAATATGTTTATAGTGAGAGAGGAGAACAAAAGGTACCATAAAAGGCAGAGACTGCAATGGTTTCCTGTGTTTAATATTCGCAGCTCAGAGCTGCATTGTATTTTATTGCAGTGTTCTGGGCTGGATAGCATATTGCTGTATGACAGCACACCAGGCCTTTGTACAATGACATTTGTGTATAAACAAAATATTCTTAAAAGGGCTACAGGTGGAAGGACCCCAATGGTACAGATCTTAATGGCGGCTCAGAAAAAGATCCTCATCTCTCTTGTTGAACCAAATATGAGACATTCACCAAAAGGAGCCTAGACAACAGGGAGGAGGGAGAGAGAAAGCGTATAGGATAGCACAAAACCTAAATACACCACTGAACACACCCCACAGGAAAAATGCAGGGCTGAGGCTATCACAGGCTGTGTGCTGGAGCTACTCCCCCCACTGCTTCCATCTCTCTGTGACTTGAGCAGACATAAAACACACTCAATGCTTTGGATTGAGACAACTACACACTACTTAAGGACATGCTTTATTCATATTTGTCAGAGGTTTACAACCACTTTAAAGATATTAAAAGCAATGTGAAGTGTTTTTGTATTACAGTGTCTACACACCCGTTAAAATGTCAGGTTTCTGCGATGTAAAAAAATGAGACAAATATAAACCATTTCAGAACTTTATCCATCGCTAATGTGACCTATAAACTGTACAACTCAATTGAAAAATAAACTGAAATCTTTTAGTGGGGAGTAAACAAACAAAATTAGGACAAGTAGGAGGAGCCTGGACGTCGAGACGCTACGCCGCCGGAGCCACGTGGAGGCCCGGCGGCCATCATTCAGAGTGTCAGGGTTAGTTTGTCTTGCTGACACATCTTGATGATACCTGCCTACTTTGAATTGGATGCTACTTTTTCTTTAATAAAGCTGCTTTTTATAATCTACTACACTATGGGTGTCCTTCCCTAAACTCCCTTGAGGAGCTTTTGCTTGTAGAACCCTGATCTTGGAATCCTACACCTAACTGGGAAGAGGAGGATCTGTTGCTGCTGCATCCATAGAGGAGGGATCCATTTTTCCTGCAACCGGACCAGCTTTATTCCCTTCTGGATTGAGGATCCATGAGCTCTAGATGCACACTGCGTTTATCTGTCTTTTTTTCTGGTGAGTGCGTTTTTCAGCCGTTTACACACGGATCACCAATTTTGAATCCTTACTGGTCACTGGACACGTTCTTATGACCAAGACTTTAAGTGGACTCATATCTGTTTTATTATCACTACTCTTAGCGCTGCACTATTTTTATGTTAAACAAAATTATGTGGTTGCATAAGTGTACACATTCTCTTATAACTGGGGAAGTAGCGGAGTTCAGAATTAAGCAATCACATTCAAAATCAAGTTAAATAGGAGTCACTACACACCTGCCATTATTTAACCCCAAATAAAGTTCAGCTGTTCTAGGTCTTTCCTGACGTTTTGTTAGTCGCATCCTACAGCAAAAGCCATGGTCCGCAGAGAGCTACCAAAGCATCAGAAGGATCTCATTGTTAAAAGGTATCAGTCAGGAGAAGGGTAAAAAAAGAATTTCCAAGGCATTAGATATACCATGGAACACAGTGAAGACAGTCATCATCAAGTGGAGAAAATATGGTGCAACAGTAACATTACCAAGAACTGGATGTCTCTCAAAAATTGATGAAAAGACAAGAAAACTGGTCTGGGAGGCTGCAAAGAGGCCTAAAACATCATTAAAGGAGCTACAGGAATATCTGGCAAGGACCAGCTGTGTGGTACATGTGACAACAATCTCCCGTATTCTTCATGTTCCTGGGCTATGGGGTAGAGTGGGAAGACGGAAGCCTTTTCTTACGAAGAAAAACATCCAAGCCCGGCTAAATTTTGCAAAAACACATCTAAAGTCTCCCAAAAGCATGTGGGAAAATGTGTTATGGTCCGATGAAACCAAGATTGATTTTTTTGGCCATAATTCCAAAAGATATGTTTGGCCCAAAAACAATACTGCCCATCACCAAAAGAACACCATACCCACAGTGAAGCATGGTGGTGGCAGCATCATGCTTTGGGGATGTTTTTCTTCAGCTGGAACTGGGGCCTTATTCAAGGTAGAGGGAATTATGAACAGTTCCAAATACCGGTCAATATAGGCACAAAACCTTCAGGCTTCTGCTAGAAAGCTGAACATGAATCTTTCAGCATGACAACAACCCAAAGCATATATCCAAATCAAAGGAATGGTTTCCCCAGAAGAAGATTAAAGTTTTGAAATGGCCCAGCCAGAGCCCGGACCTGAATCTGATGGAAAATATGTGGGCTGATCTGAAGAGGGCTGTGCACAGGAGATGCCCTCGCAATCTGACAGATGTGGAGTGTTTTTGCAAGGAGGAGTGGGCAATATTGCCAAGTCAAGATTTGCCATGCTGATAGACTTATACCCAAAAAGACTGAGCACTGGAATAAAATCAAAAAGGTGCTCAAACAAGGTATTAGTTTAAGGGTGTGCACACTTATGCAACCATAGTATTTTAGTTTTTTTTTTTTTTTTACTTCCTTCCCTTCACCTAACAATTTCAGTTTGTTGTTCAACTGAGTTGTACAGTTTATAGGTTACATTAAAGGTGGAAAAAGTTCTGAAATGATTCATCTGTCTCATTTCATTACATCACAGAAACCTGACATTTTAACAGGGGTGTGTAGACTTTTTATATCCACTGTATATAAAGTATTTTGCAGTGTGGAAAACATGAAAACCAGCACAAATATTTAATATTCCAAACAGCTGATGAAGCAGAACCAACCCTCTTCAAAGACTAGGAAATTATATGAATATAGGTGGCAACTAAAAGCTGTGGTTACAACAAAAACACTGCATGTATACACTAAAGCCTTGCTGCTACATTACATCTCACCTAATTCTCTTATGCTCTGTCAAGTCTCCTTCACTGACCAACATGGCAGATAACAATCTCAAGGTAGAGTTGGCAGATTTGGACTGATTGTTCTTCATCCCCAGGAGCCAGCGGACCAGTAGTTTTATGGCTTGTACCTACAGTCCAACATAACATAAAAATGAGAGCTGTCCAATGTAATGGACTATTCAAGGAAGAGGAAAAAAATATTTACAAGATAGCAAAGATTTTTTAAATGGTGGCAAAAAACAATGTATAAATCGTACCTTAGCCAAAACTTCCGGTGAAACTTCTTCATCTGGGGACCACAGTTTTCCGTTTTTGTCTCCAGTTGACTAAAGAGAGGAAAGCAAATTGAACCAATTCAAATTCAATGATCTGCTATATTAAAAATTAATATAATATTCTGAGCCTCACCCGATCATTCATTAGAAGATCTTTCACAATGAAATTTGCCACCACAGACTTCATCGGAGAAGCAAACTGATCAGGAGCAAGCATGGAAATATGACCAAGTGATACTAGAGGAGTTACTAACTGTTCAGGTACGTCTGCATTAAGACTTCGGCTGAGAGGCTAAAGAAGAGATATGGTATTAAGATCATAAATAATAGTAAAAGGTTTCAAGATATAACAGAACAAAAATCATATACACAGTCAGCTACCGTTTATAGTAAGCTCATTCAAACACACACCTATAAAAAATGAGGGGAATTTAACCAAAATTGGAGCAGACAGAATATGGAGCTATCTGTGCAAAGTAACTAACCAGTCAGCTTCTATCAAGTTTTAGTGTTTTCAAAGCATGATTAACCAATATCCGTACCAAAACTACAAGTAATCCGAAACTTTAAAAGCTCTAAACCATATGTATGTGAACCGAGAAAAAAAATGGATGTTTAAGCATTCAGGCTAACATTATACATGCCATTAGCTAAAAAGCTCTGTTCAGCAAAGCTACCCTTTTATACTAACGTAGAATTTCTTTAAAGTGCAAAAAAAACCTGACATTTTATGTTTGGTTAACAATTTGTCAGCATACTTCAACAGGTTCCTACTGAACTGAAGAGGTCTATATAAATATTTTATAACAATTTAAAATACACACTAAACTCTTCCACAAACTGCAAAATACCACTTTTTAAAGCTGATCGATAGCCACTCTAGTAGGTTATAGTTTCTAGGTTCTGATGCCAGTGGTATATATTGTTACCTGTGAATTCCAAGGGTCTGTATTTGAAAATACCTGCAGTTTCCCGTTATTTGCAGTTGAAAGCTCATGCAGGACAATGTCCACTGCCACTCTGTACAGGGGCTACTGGTAGAATAGTGCAGCCAATGGCATGCTCCCATCTTTTCCAGCAGCATTATATGGACAGATCAAGCGATGGGTATTTGCACTCTGAACCCCTAAAAAGGTGCAGTGGGGGGGGGGGGGGCAAGTCCCTCTGCTTTCCTATTAAAAACTGACTACACTAGGCATGAGAGCACAGCAGTGTGCTCTCCTCCAATGACCAGACTTCTGCTCACACGACCCCCTCTGAACAGCCATTCACTGGGAAGTTTAGTGTACTGCTGTTTCTCTTCCCGTGCTCTCTGTTCTCAGCTGCTTAAGGAGCTTAGAGAGTATTTGATAACTTATAACAAAAAAATATATTTTACCCTTTTTTTTTCTCTATACACAAAGGTGTTACATTTCAATTCTATTTTAAACTGAATGGGTTGTTTTACAAGGTGAGGGTTTGCATATACTTTAAGTGCCGTTTAACAATGTGGAGACAATATTATTGCTTCAAATACAACCTAACCTTAGATTATACCCTGTGTTAAAAGTGTACTTTTACTTTTCCAGTCAAACTAAAACTACTTTATATAGTTATATGTTCGCATTCACATATCACAATTTAAAAATAATTTTAAAAAGTAAAATTTGCTACTTAACCTTTTACTTGTATAAAATTCTACCAAGCTTATCCTTAAAAATCTACCTATGCTGTGTTCACTGGAACATAAACATAGTGGGGGAGGTCTCTCACGTTTGACTGCAATAGTCAAAGCTACACTTTAAATCAGAATGAGTTATGCTAGTCACATACTAGTCAAAAAATCGTTCAAACGGATTTTCGGAAAGCAAACATGGTCATAAGAGCAAACTATATTGCCATCATGTAATGACTGAATTTTGAACGGTAAATAGTTCAATGGACATAATCTAATCAGTTTTTTGCTTCTGGGTCACCTGAGGAAGTACGAACAGTTGATTTTTAATGACCAAGAAACACGTTAACCTTTCAATTTATTGTCCATTTGGCAGAAGATTTTGGCTCAAAAACGTCAATACAGATTTTTGATTTGCACCTATTAACTAGACTAAAAACGAACTGTCCAAATGTTTTTGCATGATTTTTTGGCTCGTGTATGGCCTCCACAAGATAGCATTTTTTAAAAGTACATATAATAGCAGCCGCAATTATAGTATTCCACTGAACAAAATTATTAATTTAAAGGATAAGTGCACTTTTCGTAACATGGTACGATCAGACCGGTCCCCACGCTCCCTGCTGTGACAGCTAGTGGGGGTGGGAGGATCTGCTTTCCCCTCACTAGCTGTCGAATTCAAAAAAAGATATGGCCAAGCAAGGCTCCGCCTGTCTAGGTCACTCATCCACAGTATTTGGTGAATGGGAAACCTACAAGTCTCAGCAGCCTTTGCGGCTTTCGGCTTGTAGTTTTCAATGAACTACTCCATACAGCGCTGTAATTCATTGAGCCTTCCCGTCAGCATTATCTGCTTGCTCGTACGGGATGTACAAACAAGTAGATATACTGACAGGTCAGGGGGAGACCTGCATGGCACCAGTGATCTGTTGATTGCTGGTGCAATGCATTAGGGGCTCCAAAAACAAATAAATGCACATTTATTATTTTTTGTTAAAAGGTGAAGTTAACCTTTAACATCTGAACACCACAAGTATGTATCCTATAACATAAGTTTAGTAAGCATTTACAGAAGAGGAGAAAACATGCGCACACACACCACAACAAGCCTGAGACACAACAGGGCACCATGGTACTAAATTACATGACTGTTAAAGACTAGCATCTACTAATAATTCAAGGAAACTAATGCAAATCACCTCAAATATCTGAGCCAGTTGAACTTCTTTATTGGAAAAGATAGCGTGTATACAATGTATTGCCTGCTTAGCTTGATGCGGTGTACCCCTCTTGGCCTTCTGATGCAAAATTGGAATAAGCGTCCTGTTAAATTACAGATTTGGCAAAGGTATTAAAATTCACTTATCAATAACCATTCTAAAACCAATAAAAAAATGTATTTACACGCTCTAAGATGAATGTTCAGTTTCCTCTAGTAACATCTGGCTATGTCCTACTAATCCAATAAGCTCTCAGATCACAATTTACAAGAAGCAGAATGTTTGTATAGATTTCACTTTGGGCTACTGTAAACAAGATTTTTGACAACAGGTGGTTACACAAGAACAAAAGAAGCCCAGAGCCCCACTTACTGGCTGCTGATGAAAACAGTAGTATGCAATGAAAAACAAAATGATTAAAAATAGGATTTTTATATTCACTGTAAAATCATTTTCTTTGGAGTCCACTGAGGGGCATGGGATATTTTTAACCTTCATGGTATACTGCTGCCTGCAGGAGAGGTGGACACTATGGAAACTAGCAAAAAACAAAAAAAAAACACACAACAAAAACTGCCCAGCCCAGGATGATCTCTCTCACTATCAGCATGCCAGTTTTGTGGCAAAGCAGTACAGATAGCATCAAGTACAAGAGAGACAGGATCTGTGTACCTTTAACGGACTCAAAAAGGATTAAAAGGAAGAAAAAAAGGAGCACAAAATTCCTATCTTTTTCATCCATTGAGACACAGATTTCTAACCTTCAGGATGTCCAAAAGCAGGGGCGGGCAAGCACACAGTAAACAATACCAGGCCCAAGAAAACAGAACTAGGGTCCTGCCTGCATCTTACAGCTGCCTGAAGTAACCTATGTACAAAGCTGGCATTAGATGAGGTTGCAACATCCATTCTGGTAAAACTTTGAGAATGTGTAATCAAAATTTGAGATTTGTCGCTATGCAAACCTGTGAATCAGTTGCTAAATGCCAATAGCTTATTAAAGCTAACGACAAAGTAGATGGCAAAATCTGTCCATGAAACCGAAGGCCCTCATGATCTGATAGAGCCCAAAGAGTGTCTACTAGGAGTCTTACCAGATCAGTGTACCACATCCACTTGGACCAGTCTGGTGCAATAAAGAATCACCCTAAATCCCCTCCAGCTCGAACCTGAACAGCAGACGTGGAAGACGTTTCAGCGGAAGAAAGTCATATTAAGAAGTGTGAATGTATGTGTATATACAGCGCTGAGTATTTGATGCCTAAAATAAATTGTGTGCTATTCTCCTATTTTCATAAATACACATTTCTTGCCTCAGTTCATAAAGTGCTCAGTGCTCCATAAAAAGGTAAAAAATATACTACTATGAAGGATTAATAGTAGTATATGTGCAGTGGACACTGCACCACTCCCTGAAGATGTATGATAAAACAGGTCAGGGTGGCGTTACAAATTCCCCGTACTAGCTGTCACTTTTTTAAAAAAAAAGCATGGCAGTGCAGGGCTCTGCCGCACATCCTTCATTCACAGAGTTCTGTAAATGAACTACAAGTCTCAACAACCTTTGTGGCTTGTAGTTCTCAATTAACTACCATGACACTGTTGAGCACTGTGGTAGTTCATTGAGTTTTCCTGTCAGACTGCATCTGCTGTACGGGCATACAGATACACTGACAGTTTGTAGTATGGCACTAGCAATCTGCTGATCGCTGGTGCAATGCTTTCCAGGCTCCAAAAACACAAAAAAAAAAAAATTATTAAAAAGCACTTTTTTTTTTTACCTGCCAAAAATTGGCTTTTACTATTTTTTTTTTTTTTTTTTTAGAAATGAACTTATCCTTTAACCACTTGCCTACCGGGTACTTATACCCCCTTCCTGACAAGGCCAATTTTCAGCTTTCAGTGCTGTCACATTTTGAACAATTGCGCGGTCATGCAACATTGTCCCATATAAAATTTTTATCATTTTTTTTCACACAAATAGAACTTTCTTTTGGTGGTATTTACTCGCCACTGGGTGTTTTATTTTTTGCACTACAAACAAAAAAAAGAGCAAAAAATTTGAAGAAAAAAAAAAAAAGTTTCTTTGTTTCTACTATAAAATTTTGCAAACAGGTAATTTTTTTCTTACACTGATTTGCGCTGATGCGGCTGCACTGACTGACGGCACTGATGGGTGGCACTGATGAGCACAGGTTGGTGGCACTGCTGGGCACCGATCATCAGTGCCAATCCCTCCTCTGACAAATACCGGTTCTCGGCAGTACTTTCCAGTGCAGCCGATAACCAGCAATTGCATTTCCTGGTGATCAGTGTGTCATTGGACATGGCTGATCACGTGGCAAAAGGCCGCTGTGATTGGCCTTTTACCACATCACGTGATCAACTGTGTCCGTAGGATCACGGAGATCGCAGGGGACGAGCAGGAGAGCGCATTCTGGGAGGACGTCATATGACGCCCTCCCAGAACTGGCAGGCCACAGTGAAGCCGTCATTTGGCTATCTGTGGTCAGCAAGTGGTTAAACTACACAACATCAGAGCATCACAAACCAAAAATGCTATTATATTTATTTCTAATTACACCCCCTAGCATTTGTAATCATAGCCATCTTGAGTAAGAGCAGATGATTCATGTAGCATTTACTTTCTGAAAAGCATTTACCCTTAAGCTTAGGTATGCCGGCAGGAGGGTGTGCTTACATGAGAAAAACCCTCCTCCCCTCCTGAAGACTCCTGGAATATAGGACATCATTTGCCTAGACCTGGAAACTAGGAAGTAACTTAAGAAATGTAAAGAAAAAGTTTAACCCAAGTAAATAAGATATACTTTCCTATTTACTAATGTGAGCTGAATAAAGATTAAATATAATCAATGTTGATTGAGAGAGTGAATGGATCGGACTGGTTAAATGCACTGAGCACTTGTAACGGACTTTGACACTAAAAAAAAAGTGCATACAGCACAGAGCACTGCTAGTGATTGATATATTTACCCCTTTATAGAGCACTGAGAACTTTACAAAATATGAATTGAGACAAGAACTGCATATTGCTTATGAAAATAAGAGACTAGCAAGTAGTTTAAAGGTACCAAATATTTATTAACACTGGTATATACATTATTTTGTATAGATTAGGGTGTACTGATGCCACAAAGCAACTGACTAGAGCAATCACTGCTTCTGCAAGAGATTCCTCCGCCAAGAGAAAAAACAAACTTTTCAATCTGTTGAACCTGGAGATCAGGAGGTCCACATCTGGCAGGTCTCCTACCTGCAACAGGTCCTACAACAACTCAAGATGTAGGGATCACTTCCCTGGATGCAGGCACTGTTGGTAGAGGAAGTCTGCCAGCCTGGAAACTACACTGCTGACAAGGCTGGAACACGAAGTTCTGCCCAGGACAGGGCTGGATTTATCTCCTGTGCCATGGTGAGTTCTGGTTCCTCCCTGACTGATGACTAAATCCAGAATGGCTGACCCTCCATTAAGATGGTCCAACATTGCAGACACAGCCCATTTTCCCCTATAACGACAGAATGTGGAGTTGCAGATGTCTGGGATGAAACTGGGCAAAAAGGAACTACCTCAAAAGAACCTACCATCAGACCGGACTGTTGGAGGGCTTCTGGACTGGAGAGTTCGCATCAGATCACAGGGTCTGAAGTTTGTCCTCTGAACACCACTCTGGCCTGTGCTGGGTCAAGGACTATACCCAAATACTCCAAATGATGGTCAATGAGGTTGCCCAAATATTCCGAAGATTTATCTGCGCATTTCCAATCTTAGCAGATAAAAACACTGAACTGGAGATGAGGCAGAAATCTCCTAGTGGATTTAGGTTATTAGGGACCAAGCCCAGAAACTGCATTAGGAGAGGGAATGCTGGGCTTCAATGGCTAAGTTTGTTTTGCAAGAATGAGAGGACCCTTGCATTTGAAAAGATCTCCAAAGAGTCTTCAACAGGATCAGCGATATTAGGCATCTCTTTGTGGAAGATTCCACCAGAGAAGGTGGCGCTTTCATCACCTGCGATTAGGGGAGCTACAAGCTGGACGTAAACAAAAAATCTTGTATACCTAGAAAAAAACACCTCTAAGAAAAAGGTATGAGTCCAACAGGATGAAAAAAAATTAGATCAGACAGCAGAAGTGGGACTTACTAGGTTCTAAAAAAGTACAGAAGGCACAATCTATCCCTGCATTAAACTCTACTTTGAATATAGCAGAAATAAGATCTTAGGTTGATTGACCAGACACAGGACAACTGCCCTTTTTGTCTGGTGCAGGATATGTTGAAAACAGAAGGATGAGCTTACGTCGTACCAGGAAGAGTACCAGGGCTATGGTAATATGAACACTGTTACTGTTCGGTCTGCGAGAAGAGTCACATCTCTTTTTTTTTTTTAATAAAAACACTTTACCAGGGCACAAATCAGTGCCCTGCATCACAATGTTTCATTGCGACCACCACTACACTAAACACTAGGAATGCTCGATGCAGACACCAAGCTTTTGAATGGTCAGCACCGCAATGTCTAGCTCGCACGGTCATCCCTGCAAGGAGAGAGAAAGCTGCAGGGAATTCAAATCCACAGACCTGTGAAGCGGCTTTTGTTTGACAGCATGGGATTGGCGCGGGGAAGTTTCCTGCGCCGCACTTGTGTGAGCTCAGTCTATGACAAGCCTGGGTTCAAACAGGAGCAGTGGGGAAACTGCATGCAATTTAGAAAGGAATCCCACCGCATTCCTGGTTAAAAATCACATGCTATTCTTTGCAGTCTGCTATGAGTTTACATTTTGTATGAATGCAAATCACACCACAAAGCATCGGTACTCAGTATCAGCGAGAACTTGACTGAAAGTATCGGTCTTCGTAATCACCAATCAAAAGTGTATAGATGCATCCCTACTAAATACTCACACTGCACAAGCAAAGATTTTATGCTTTGTTAAACCATACACAGTCTCACAGAATTGTTCTCAGACTTCATACTCACACAAAGGCATGGTGCATAAGTACACGCTCTTGCTCGCCTTCAATGCTGTGTCATCAAGTGTAGAGAGAAAGACGGATGAGGTAGGAAATTTAACATGGATTTTCAGACAAACAGCGCTCACTACTCACGAGTGAAAAAATTAGGAGAGTTTGCAATTCGCAAATATAAAGCCCTGTCTACCAAGCTAAAAAAAATAATGGAAAAGGCTCCGTCATGCGGTCAGTGTGAGAATTACACAAAATGTGTAAGGCATGCCAAGTAGTAAAGGAGCAGTTTAACTACTTCACAAAATGGCAAGTAAGCTCCAGCTGCTTATGTAGTAACTATAATAAAGACTCACAATCACAACAATGAGTCTTCAGAACAGTGCAGCATCTCTGGGGAAAGAAAAAAAACAAACTGTCTAAACCTTAAAAACGGAGTTCTGTGCTAACTGGAACACAGGCAGTCAACACTGACCGAAGGACTGCCACAGAAAGCAAATGCCCTAAGAGGCTATAGCAAAGAGATTCTCACAGCAGTTACCACGTAAAGACCTTCCCTGGGATGTTTCGGAATGGGACAGAGGAGGGAAGGGTAATGTCCTGGTTGAGGTCGAAATAGGAAACCAATGGGAAAAGCTCTTTACTTGATACAGCTGCTAACTTAGATTGCCTCCACGCAGAGGTTTTAGGAATGAGAAAGGCCACTGTTAAAAGTAAGATCGGACAAGGGGAAAATCCCTAATAACTTTGAAGGTTGGCCTCTGAAGGTCAGAAAGAACAAGGTCAACCACTTACCTACCAGCCACAATATATATACTGCGGCAGGTCAGCACCTACAGGCAAAATCAAATCCATGTTCGTCATTTTGTCTGCTTGAGCTGTGAGTTGCGGTGTGCTAGCTGGGCCCCTGCACCCGCAGAGTGGAATGCAGCCTAGTGATGTGACTGCTATGCGATCACATGATCTAAATGTCAACAAAGCGGTTATGAATTAATTCATAACCGCTGTGTTGACTATGCTGTGATTGACACAACATAATACCAAATCCAATCACAGCACCCTGTACCATGTGATTAGCTGTACCAGTCACAGATCACTAGTGATCACAGCTATCATGAATGGTCAACCACTTCACAACAGTTGAGAGATTTGCTGTTACAATGATCTCCATTGCAGTACACTGTTACTATGACGATACTGAATTACTCTGATGAAAGTAAGCAAAAAAAAAAAAAAAAAAAAGCTAAAAATGATTAAAATGTTTAAAAAAGTATATTTTTTTTTTTTAAATACTGACATTAGTGTCCCTGATCACCGCCACATCAATCATATGACGACGCTGTACTGCGCTGGTGACAGAATTTAGGGAAAAAAAAATAACATGTGAAAACATTTTTATTCAATTTCATTTTCAAAAAAAATTGTGACAAAAAATTACAACTTCAAAGCACTCACCATGCCTCTTACTAAATGCCTCAGACTGTCTACTTTCAAAAAAAGGATTATTTTCAGGGGACTTTGTATTGTCCTGGCATTTTAGGGCCTCAAGAAATGAGATAAACCGTCGGGATCAAATATATACACCACAGTTTGTAGACACTATAAACTTCACACAAAGCAATATACACTTATTGGGATTCATTTTTACCAAAGATATGTAGCAGAATACATTTTGGCCTAAATTTAAGCCAAAATTTGGTTTTACTGGATATGTTTTATGACGGAAAGCAGAAAATATTGTAAAAAATAAAACACAGTGGTGATATCAAATGCAACCAAAAGAAAGCACTTTATGTGAAAAAATGCTAAAAATTTCATTTGTGCACAGTATTGTATGACCACGCAATTGCCAGCTAAAGTAGCGCAGTGCTGAATAGCAAAAAAAATGCCCAGGTCATAAAGGGATTAAAACCTTCCAGAGCTCAAGTGATTAAAGGTCCACAGAGCTACAAGGGTAGATGTGTACGATATCTTGCAAACACCTTAACTAGGATTGGCCACCGGTCTCTGAAACAGAATGACAAATGCTGAAATTTGTCCTTTGGACCAGACCAGCATTTGGCCTGGAGTACCATCTGACTGGAGGAAAGATAGCATACATCCCATGGAGTACTTCCCAGGAGTCACTCATCCTGATCAGATACCCAAGTAGAGAGGGGGACCTACATCATCTACCTGCTAGTCAAACAGCACGTCTACAACAAAGGCAAGGCCAGAAACTGACTCAGGAGGGAAGGCAAAAGGGGCTCGACAGCAACCCATTAACTATGGCCTCTAAAAGGACCATATCCCAACCCTGGCACCACCTGCCTGGAGTTTGCATGTTCTCCCTGTGACTGCGTGGGTTTCCTCCGGGTACTCCGGTTTCCTCCCACACTCCAAAGACACGCTGGTAGGTTAATTGGCTGCTGTCTAAATTGGCCCTAGTATGTATATGTATGAATGTGAGTTAGGGACTTTAGATTGTATGCTCCTTGAGGGTTAGGGACTGATGTGAATGTACAATATATGTATGTAAAGCTCTGCATAAATTGACGGCGCTATATAAGTACCTGAAATAAATATAACTGCCCATTAAATCAGATATTATGGTAGAAAGTTCTTATTGGACAAGTAGGAAGAAGGTTGTTGGCCAAAGGGCCAGCAGAGTGCTCACAGGAAGACAGGGAGTCAGCATACTGGGAGCAACTGACCGAACTGAGGGCACTAGGGCTCTGTGGATAGTAAACTCCAGCCTCTTGCCATAAGCCATGTGTAGAGTGTGGCCATATGGAGAAATGGTGAAACCTTATGCCCCAGTCACTACAGGCTGCTGAATTCAGACAGGCATCCATGGACTGTGGTGCTGTACTGTGGGAGCCAGGAGCCACTGAAAAGTATAACCAAGGAAGAAAATGGAGTCACCTGCACAGTAAAGCATCCAAAAGAGGAGGGGCAGTAGCACTTTAGGCGAGACTACCAGATAAATGGTGTCCAAATGGTTGGGGGCAACCATTTTATGGCCTTAACACACCATTCAAAGTGTCAAAGCCCTGCCCAACCAAACCTTAGGACAGAATTTAAGGGAGCAAACTTTGTATTTACCGCGACAGATGTTCTCACACTCTAGGCAGGATGCAAGGGATTAGAACACATTCTGGCTTCGCCCTCCAGAAAGGGGATGTTCAGTGACAAGACTCTGCTGCAAGCAAACCATGACCCTGGATCTGTATAGCACCATGTGTCTAAGTCAAAACTCCTGCAGAAAAGAGGCAAGCTTCTCTACCAGAGAAAAGCTCTAACCTCTACGGACAATAGCAAAAAAATAGGAGTGTAGTGGGTGGCATATAGAGGTCGTCACTGCAGGTTTTTTTGCAAGTGTATAATCACCTGAAGGTGATGCATTTAACCCATGGGTAAAAAACTATAAATTCTGTGTCCTATACTGTAAGTTTAAGAAAAGGTTACCCAAAGATGGGTCTTAGGAAACAGCCTTACTTGTGAAGCAGCGTGGTTAAGATGCATCAGCCAAAATATATGAGGAGTAAATTACTAAATGTGTTGGGAGGCAAAAGCAGAGGATTGATTGAACTGTGCACAATGGATTGCGCTACCATTTTTTTGGAAGTTCTTTTTAAAAAAATAAATATAATTTTGAGCTGTCATTCATATAAATAAATGCAGCTTAGTGAAAGTGCACAACACACCTTTAAAACAATACTAAAAAAAAAAAAAAAAATCACACAAAGCATAAACAGTGTAAAACTGTAACATAAAAGGTCCATATAAAGAATCTTCTGCAAAATGAACAAAACAAAATTACTGTTCTTCCTTTTATTTTTTCATTTTACTGAAGATTCTTTATATTATTATTATACAGTATTTATATAGCGCCAATGGTTTGCTCAGTGCTGTACATTATATGAACACGTCTTTTTTTTTTTTTTTTTTTTAAAGACAGGACTTAATTCTCAAATCACATTTAAGTTACAGATTCACAGTATATATGCTTAATGCCTAATTTGTAGTCATTATTTCAAAATAATACTGTAGACCTGGACCTCAAGGCTCTGTCTCAAAAGAACCCAATACACTCAAATCTCATTGCTCTAACATCTGATATAAACAATGCCAACTGAAGTCTTACGATCGTATCTGTGGTAAATCGGTTTCAATCCGGTGCCCAGTATTGCGAAATATCTGGATGGCTGCCTCTGCCACTTTGTCGTCATCCATACGAAGGCACTGAAGTAAGGATTCATATGTCTCTGAAGAGTGGAATGCAGTCGGATGGGTAAAGGACAACACCTAAGCATCAGATTATCACACAGAATTAGGGTTTTTGTCACTACCTCACGTACATAAGACAAGGACAGAAAGTGATCTATTTTATAAAAGAAATAATCACACATATTAAGATAATGCAATAAAACAGTTATGAATATTTGAGAACTGTTTTATTGAAATGGTAAACATAACCCCCATGAAAAAAAATTTGAATTTTTGCTCTACCTGTAAAATCCTTTTCTTAAGAGTACATCACAGGACACCGTACACTTCATAACTATTTGGGTTTATGCTGCCACCTTCCCCAAAGATGTGCCCCAGTCTCAGTTTTGTAGCAAGCAATGAGAAAACAGAGGGATAGACCACTGTGTTTCATTAAGAACTCCACAAAAAATATTTTACAGATAAACAAAAAATGCAAATCTTAGTTGTACATCAGAGGACGCTTCATATGACTAATTAAACCACTGAACATGAGGGGTAGGCAATAGTAACAAGACAAAAGCCCAAAAATAGGGGAGAACCCCTCTACAAAGGCATCTGCAAATCTGCAAGACCTTTCCCCCAAAACTGGCATCCACAGAGGTTAACATCTACCTGGAAGAACTTACCAAAAGTGTAAAGAGATGACCAGGTAGAAGCCATAGAAAACCAGGAAGCACTGACACTCTTGGTGGAATGAGCTTTGAGAAAAAAGCAACCTCACCCATAACACCACAGGCCTAAAAAATAAACTGACAATTCCACCTAGAAATAGTACTGTAGATCAGAAGGCAACCTGAACTTGCAAGGACTCTGGTACACCAACGACGGACTTCAAAGCTGCAGACTTCAGATAAATTCAAAAAGATCTAATGTCATCCAAAAAGCTGCTGACTTTTAATACTCAGACACCTGCCTGTACCAGGATACGGTTACATGCTCACCCGAGGGTGAGCCAGCATCTTAACTGTAGGTATCTGGCTGTGACACCTTGCAGATTCACAGCTGGGTGTTCACTGTGCGAGACGCACTGCCAATTGTGAATGGTTCCGCAGTCTTCTGGGACCTGTATGCGTTCCAGAAGACTGCGAGGAGAAGAACCTCTGCTACCGACAATCCAGGCGGTCGCAGCAGAAATGGGTACCTGTCAAAATCAGGTACCCGCTGAAGGCCCACCTTCAAAAAAACAAACATGTCAATACTTACCTACTTCGTGCAGTGGTTTTGCACAGAGCAGCCATGATCCTTCTCTTTTCAGGTCCCCTGCCAACAGTCCAGGCCTCTCCCTTCTGCCAATTGCCCCCAGAGTAAGCAGTGTGCTATGGGGGCACCGAAGCAGGCTTGATCCCAAGCCATTTTTCTCTGCGTGACTATTTACGTGGCTCAGCCCCCCCACCATTAGCTCACTGGCTATGATTGACGTCAGCGGGAGCCAATGGCTCCAGCTGCTGTTTTAGCCAATGAGGGGAGTCCCCAGTGAGTCGAGGCTCTTGTGCATATCGTTAAAATTCCAATGAGGCTGAGATAATTATTAGGGGGTGCTGACGGACACGTTTTTTTTTTATATTTATGGATACAATGCATGAAGGTAATAAAACCTTGAGCCTTTATAACCACTTTAAGGTCTTAGAATCCACACACCAGAAAGAAGAAAGGACAAAATGACCCCACAAAGAACTTTCTGGGATGAAACTTAAGAACCTCACACCAGGTGAAATAAGCTTTTTCATTATGAAGGTAAAACCTTCCTGAAGTATGATTTTCTTGCTTTGAGTAGGGTTTACAGAGCCAGAAACACCACCATTCCTCAGAATTCGGGCTTAAACAGCCATGCTGGCAAAGCCAAAGGTTGCAAAGTAGAATGGAACATTGGACCTCGTGACAGGAAATCTGCACAGCTGGAAGAGACCACAGCTAGTCTGTAAAGAGATTTATGGTGTTGGCATACCACGTCCCTTCTCCAAGCAGGTGCGATCAAAATCGCTGGAAAGCCATCCCCCTTCATTGATCGCATCAGGCGAAGAAGAAGTTGCAGTTGAGGAAAAGCATTGATCAGGGAAAACTGACCCCAAGAAGTCATCAGTGCATCCTCCAGAAACACCCGAAGATCCATGGTCCCCGACTTATCCAGTATGTTGTTGAATCTAGATGCTCCTCAACGACAGATAAATCTATGCAGAAACAGCCCATTCCTCCAGATTCAGCTACGGATGGCTAATAAAAAGTCTACCAGCTAACTTTTCATCACAGCAGACAGGGCAAGGACAAGTTCTGCCCAGGAAAAGATCAGGTCAATGTCTTAAAGTGAAACTTCACTCAATCAGCACTGACCATTTTTAATCCTTATGCTGCTAGCATATTAGTAAATAGATAGGAAAGTATATTATATTTACTAGTTTCAAACTTTTTTTTTTTTCACATTTCTTCAGTTACTTCCTGGTATCCAGGCCTAAGCAAAATTATGTCATACATCCCAGGAGACTTCAGAAGGGGAGGAGAGGTTTTCTCAGCTAAGCACACCCTCCTTCCTTCATGCCTGAATCAATGGCAGATGGATTCCAGAAAGTAAATGCTACATGGATGATTTGCCCTTACTCAAGATGGCCATGATCAGAAATGCTAGGGGGTGTTATTAGAAATAAATTTAATAGAATTTTTGGTTTGTGATGCTCGGGTGCAGTGGCCAAAAATAAAGGGAAGTGTTTTTTGAGTGTGTTTTCTTTGAATATTAAAAATGAATTAAACGTTTTTTTTTTTAGCTTGCGGTGCTCAGATGCAGTCTAGTTCCACTATAGGCAGCGCGACTGGATAGTGGTTGATGTATGCCACAGCTGTGACATTGACTACATTCCGACAAGAAAACCTCGAAGGCAGATAAACCAAAGTAGGAGAGCCAGTTGAATCACCAGTAGTTTCAGGATGTTGATCGGCAATGTACCCTACTTTTGACAAACATGTTCCCTGAACTGAAAGGTTCTCCAGAACACCTCAACTCGACATACCATCATCAAGACCTTCCAATTTCACTGGAAGGATGGATCTTGCGATATCCACCATTTAAAAACTGACCTGCCAGATGCACTGACAAATCCAAAGTCTCCTGAGGTTTGTCCCTCAATGACAGGATACTAAATTAAAAAGCTCTGGTGTGAAACTGGGCATAGGGAACCTAATCAAAAGGAGGATACCATCGACCCCAGCACTTTCATGTAGGCCCAAATCCAGGGAAATTCCAACAACCTTGAAATCCACCTAGGATAAAAAACTAAGGTATTTATTTGGAAGACCTTTACCTGAGCTGTGTACTAAGCCTAAGTACTGCAAGCACTGTTTCGGAACCAAGTCTAACATCTGAATGTTCAACACCCAAACAAACCTTTGAAAGACCTGTACTGTCTTGCTAGATTTCAGCTTCTGAGCGGATTGCTCCATAAGATTGCGGTCGTCCAAGTAACCCAAAACAGGGATACCCTTGGTCCTCAACTATTCAAGAACTGGAGCCAACTTCTTGGGAAGTGGACAGGTCAAAAGAAAAAACACAAAAGTAGCAGTGGTGATGCTTCACTGTGAATCACATTGACTATTTGTGAGTCCATTTATTGATTGGATGGACATCATCCAAAATTTCTAATCTTTCAGGAACTTTTCAGGAATAGGCAGGATATTTCTTTGGCTTAGGAACTGTAAACAGGTTGGAATAGAACCTACGAAAACCCTTTATGGCAGTAACCTTTCCAGAGTTGAAAAGAAAGCAGCTCTTGGGGGCCCAGCTCTTACGGAACTAGGGCTTAGGCTTCTAAGCCTAAGGATTGCTGCTTATCAAAGGAAATCTTCTTGAATTCCAAAGCTGCCACAAGTTTCTGACCTATCACTTGTACCTTCTTTAGGGGTAAGGGCGTGCTTTTAACCACAATAACCTTCTAGAAAAATGCATCCAAGTATGGTCCAAACAATCATTTGCTCTCAAATTACTTCTTGCAGAGAAGTTCTGCTGGCCAGACATGGTGTGCACCTGTGAAAGCGTCCATCAGTAAACTCAGAGCTCATGGAAAATATTCCAGGTACTTCCAGATGGCAACATCTTCTGAGTCAGATTCTCTAACTTTAAGGGCCTGGCAATATACCACTGCAGGCTGCGTAGCCACACTCTTCAGAGAAAAGGATGCCCTAAAGAGTACCTCTAATTCTTTTCCTTGGTGTTTTTTTAAGACCAGCACCTCATCAACTGGAGTCATCAGTCTTAATTTAAGTAGGACATGCCTGGGGCCATTTCTTGAAGAATTCCTCCTCCATGAGGTACTGTTGAGCAAATCACTCCAAAGGTGAAACACCTTCTCTCCTTCAACCAACATACATCACTTCCTGCAAGGGAGGTGCACTGGAAAAGACTTGGGATGTTTTTCCACACATCAGGACATAAAGCCAATGACTTTTTAGGGAAAAAGGTTTCCAGCACTGGAAACCTAAGTTTAGTCTGCACTACATCCACCAGGAAGCCCCCCATTATCTTCTGAGTTAGCCCCAGACCCTGAGATTTCTCCTGAAAGGATTAATTTACAGAGAGTTCCCAATCCCCAAGAGCTTCTTCTGTCATCTTCAGCATGACCATCTGACGCTTCAGGAAAAGGGGAAGAAGTGCACCCACCTCTGTGTCCCAGGCAAGTAAGAACCACTCAGAGCTTTTCACACAAACCAGAAACAGCTGCAGAAAATCCCTCCCATGACACAAAGGAAGTGGAGGATTGCGCCCTTGAAACAGTGGGAATATCAGATAAGGGTGGGGATTAAGAACTAAATTTGACTCCTTGGGGAGCCATTGTAGGACAAACTGTGCAGGGGCTCCTCCCTACCACATTGAGGGATATTTGTCTTCCTCCCACGTCTCTGCCTGCACAAAATCCTGGCTTGCTGAGAATCTGTAGGCCTGTTATACCAATAGGAATGGCCACCCAGCTGAGAGGGGTGTAGGGACAAGACACACCACCTCAGTGGCAGTCACCCCTTGTAAAAAAAATTTTTTTTCCAAATACTTGTGGTAGAAACACGTGCTGCTGTGTGCAGGAAAAAGTAAAAAAATGGCAGATGCACGTGGCAACAGTCAACTCCTTTAGAACATTGCTACTGTGGTACAGCACTCCGCTCGAAGAAAAAAATCTGCCTAGCAGTCCAACGCACTAGGGGAAATTATGGTGGAATGCTGCCACCCAATTTTCACCCCATCACAGCGGGTGTGCCCCCCACAGGGTCTTCAGTAACTCCATTGAATCCCTGCCCGGGACTTGCAGAGCACCCTGCCAGCAAGATAATCTGATAGTCTATAACCTGAGATCAATGCCTGTGGGATCCAGCACCAACACACAGCATTACAGGCCATCCCCGTTTACTCTACTGGCTGTAGTATCCAATCCAGATGAAGCCTTCTAGGCACATGTAGTGGAATAACCCATGTGGTCATGAATATGAAGCACCCTATGATGTACGATTAAGAAACTGTACCAGAACTGGCTTCTTACAAAAAGGAACTACAGCAAATATTTATCTTATCATACCTGCATCTAGCCAAACTGGATCAAAGTATCAATATGCAATACTCATAGGGCTGCTGAAAAATCACTATAGAAGGTACACTGCACTACAAACAGTGATACTGTGATATTCCAGGCGTGTCCCTCCATTTCCACCCCTTTTATTTTCATTTTGTTTTTCAAATATAAAGTATCCTGATTGGATAAGGGTGTCTGGTGTAATGATCTCCACCTTATCCAATCAGAGAATGTCTTGTATTCAAGGAAAAAAACAAAACAAAACAAAAACAAAACAAAAAAAAAAACTACAAAGCATTCTCTAAATGGTGGCATAACCGAGCAAGTGACCCCTTGTGCCAAGTGAGCAGTAACTACTGGAGTTCCACTTTACTGGACACCAAGATAAAATTGTAGAAGTACAAAGATTGTTGTCTGGTGTCCCAAAACCAAGACTCTCCACACAACACACCAGACTTCCTGGTGGAAAGTTGTCACTCATTCCCAATCCTTCTGCATCCCACTCATTGGGTCACATCACTGTCCTCAGTGACCATAAAAAAAAAATATGTGGGGCAAGAGGTGGGCCAAGCGCCAACATTTTAGATAAAGTTGGTAACGGTGTAATAGTGTGCCCCAGGTTCTAGAAGATCACTACAAATACTCCTGGGTGCCTGCTTTTATATCCTGCTGAAATATCATTATGCAATTAATTTTACTGTGTATCAAAGTAAAGTGATTCTAAAGGCTGTGAATTAAAAAAAAAATAAAATAAACATGTTATACTTATCTGCTCTATGCATTGGTTTTGCAGAGAGCAGTCCAGAGCCTCTTCTTTGAGGGGGAGGACTGCATTCAGGTTTCTTTTTTTCCCCTTAATGCATACAATGTATTATTGTAAAAAAACTTCTGCCTTTAGAATTGCTTTAAAACTGAATGCAGTCAGATATGACAAACACATCAATTAATGCACTTGTAAAGTCATTAAGACATCCTTATGAATATTTAAGTCTTTTGTTTCTGAAACAATTTCTCAGTTCCCTAGACATGCCAAAAATACATATTTTCTTCAGGAATAGTGTTTAAAATCCCAAAAAAACAATATATAAGTGTGTTTGTATAATATACAGTCAGGTCCATAAATATTGGGACATGGACACAATTCTAACATTCTTGGCTCTATACACCACCACAATGGATTTGAATGAAACGAACAAGATGTGCTTTAACTGCAGACTGTCAGCTTTAATTTGAGGGTATTTACATCCAAATCAGGTGAACGGTGTAGGAATGACAACAGTTTGCATATGTGCCTCCCACTTGTTAAGGAACCAAAAGTAATGGGACAGAATAATAATCATAAATCAAACTTTCACTTTTTAATACTTGGTTGCAACTCCTTTGCAGTCAATTACAGCCTGAAGTGTGGACCGCATAGACATCACCAGACGCTGGGTTTCATCCCTAGTGATGCTCTGCCAGGCCTCTACTGCAACTGTCTTCAGTTCCTGCTTGTTCTTGGGCCATTTTCCCTTCAGTTTTGTCTTCAGCAAGTGAAATGCATGCTCAATCGGATTCAGGTCAGGTGATGGACTTGGCCATTGCAGAACATTCCACTTCTTTCCCTTAAAAAACTCTTTGGTTGCTTTTGCAGTCTGCTTTGGGTCATTGTCCATCTGCACTGTGAAGCGGCGTCCAATGAGTTGTGAAGCATTTGGCTGAATATGAGCAGATAATATTGCCCGAAACACTTCAGAATTCATCCTGCTGCTTTTGTCAGCAGTCACATCATCAATAAATACAGGAGAAGCAGTTCCATTGGCAGCCATACATGCCCACACCATGACACTACCACCACCATGCTTCACTGATGAGGTGGTATGCTTAGGATCATGAGCAGCTCCTTTCCTTCTCCATACTCTTCTCTTCCCATCACTCTGGTACAAGTTGATCTTGGTCTCATCTGTCCATAGGATGTTGTTCCAGAACTGTGAAGGCTTTTTTAGATGTCGTTTGGCAAACTCTAATCTGGCCTTCCTGTTTTTGAGGCTCACCAATGGTTTCCATCTTGTGGTGAACCCTCTGTATTCACTCTGGTGAAGTCTTCTCTTGATTGGTGACTTTGACACACATACACCTACCTCCTGGAGAGTGTTCTTGATCTGGCCAACTGTTGTGAAGGGTGTTTTCTTCACCAGGGAAAAAATTCTTCGGTCATCCACCACAGTTGTTTTCCGTGGTCTTCCAGGTCTTTTTGTGTTGCTGAGCTCACCGGTGCGTTCCTTCTTTTTAAGAATGTTTCAAACAGTTGTTTTGGCCACGCCTAATGTTTTTGTTATCTCTCTGATGGGTTTGTTTTGTTGTTTCAGCCTAATGACGGCTTGCTTCACTGATAGTGACAGCTCTTTGGATCTCATCTTGAGGGTTGACAGCAACAGATTCCAAATGCAAATAGCACACTTGAAATGAACTCTGGACCTTTTATCTGCTCATTGTAATTGGGATAATGAGGGAATAACACACACCTGGCCATGGAACAGCTGAGAAGCCAATTGTCCCATTACTTTTGGTCCCTTAACAAGTGGGAGGCACATATGCAAACTGTTGTAATTCCTACACCGTTCACCTGATTTGGATGTAAATACCCTCAAATTAAAGCTGACAGTCTGCAGTTAAAGCACATCTTGTTAGTTTCATTTCAAATCCATTGTGTTGGTGTATAGAGCCAAAAATGTTAGAATTGTGTCCATGTCCCAATATTTATGGACCTGACTGTATCTATATATTTATTTATGATTTTGTCATACCTGTTTATCAAATCAAAATTTTCTGTTATAAAAATACATTAATATACATTTTAGCACACACAAAATATCTTTGTTAAATATAAAAGTAGTAGTAAAGCGATATCAAATACATCAAGCTTCAAAACTGAATGAACCCACAAAAGCACAAGAGAGGGTGCCTAAGGGGTGAGCCTGAAACAAATAAGAAAATACAAATGAGCAGCGGTGTGCTTGTTTACTTTTTTTTTTTTTTTTTAATGCCACACAGTAATATGGCAACGGCAGTGAGTGTTAAGGCTGGGTGCACACCATCCAAATATCGACCGGTTCATCAAGAACTGTCCGACATTCGGAATGTGTGTACAGCTGTCCTTCTGACAGAAGCTGGTCTAACAACCAGCTTTTGTCGAAGGGACATGATGGAAAACCAGCAGATCACCGCTCAAATCCAATGGCCGCAAGCACAGATTAGTGTGTACTGGTGGGGGGGGTGGTGAGGCTTTAGATGCAACTAGTTTAAACACCCAAATCTGACTTAATATCAGTTTCTTGCAATACCTTGTACAGCAGCATTAAAAGAAGGATAGAGAGGGGGCAGCATTAGGAGCAAATAAGGATGGCTGCACAAACACTAACGAGGGAGAGGAGCTATACTTATTCTGCTGCGGGAGAGGAGCTATACTTATTCTGCTGCTACTCCTTCACTGTCCAATCGGAGACTAGAGACAGGAAGGTGACCAGGTTCAATGTCTTCACACAACTCACCATTTGCCCATCTATATAATGGCGTCTCTAAAAATGACCAACAGTAAGACACAGGAAAACCAAAAAAGGGCAAGGCTTTTGACCATGGCAGCTGGTTAAAATATGCATATCAGATCATCTTAATATTTGGGAATCCATGTGAACTGAATGGTGCACTATAGCGATATGCAGATACTTAGGAGGTGCCTGCTTATAGCATGTTAGTAGACATTTAGCTAGTTTGACAACATATCCAGTTTGCTTAAAGAGATAGCTCTGAAAGGACCAATGCTACTTTATCAAACCAAACCATTGCACAAGCCATGCCTTAGGAATTGATGTCAAATAATTTTCCTACCTTAGCTGACAACTACTACAAATGGCAAGAACACACACGAATAAATCAATTTTCATTTAAATTCACTGCTCATATTTTTTTTGCATAACTTTGCTTACCTTTAGCAGTTCTAATCCTGCTCTTATTGCAGAATCAGGACTCACACACCCTCCTCTTCATCATCTGCTGTACCCTCAATAGATTTATTCATCAGTTTCACCAATGCACTGAAACAGACAGTACAGCATAAGATAGGGGAAAATTTATAAAAAGACATCCTCAAATGATGTACAAAGCACAATATTAACAAAAACACACGTTTCCTTTGTGCAAATACATTCTTTACAAAGAATATTCCAATAAAGTCACAGCAACTGTGAAAATACATACAGACCAACCAGCATCTCACACAGACACCAATACACATACAAAGGAGATTTAATTTAAGAAGTATATCTAAAACATTACTGAACAAAAGAAGTTTTGCTTAGAAAGAATATTTGTATGCATAAAAAACAATTACATACCTGATAGCCTCTGAATCTATATGGACTGGGGCAATTCTTTCTAATAAGAATTTCACCATTTCTAAGAAGGGGTTGGTAGGTTGCTTTGGATTAGCAAGTTTCCGGGCAATTTCCCTCTAAGGTTAAAAACACGCAAACCAAGAAAACATACTGGTCATCATATTTTGGGATATGTTTGTTCTGTGACAACTACACTGAAAACATGTAAATAAAACTGCAATGATGTTTCTTACCACACAAACATCAGCTTGTTTACAGGAACATGTTGGGCTTATGAGCATTTCTAGCTGAAACCTCAATTTCTCATCATCTCCCAAAACCTGATTAAATTTCTTGACAAAATCTTGTGCTTTTCCCGGATCTGGTAAATTCTCTATGAATTAAGAAGTAGAATTTTTAATTTAAGCTGGCCTTTTTTCTTAAACAGCAGAACTGCTATACATCACAGAGTCATTTGAAGCATCTAATTTAACAATCATTAAAAGCTCCCTCCTACTGTGCACTTAGGCATCTTGTGAACAAATGCTAAACTATTCATGTTTACAGGATAACCTGAGAAGATACCTGTGAAATAATAGGGAGGGAGGAGTTTATTCGCAGTTGGCATACCAATGAACACACAGCCATGCGTCTTGAGGCCGAGAAAGCACATAAGCCACCATATGAAGTGAAGTGATGACACACAGAAGAGGAGCCCCGAGCGCTGATAGGGGACAACAGAAGGAGGATTGGGGCTGCACTGTTAAAAACCACTACAGAGAGCAGATAGGTATGAAATGTTTGTAAAATTATATATATATATTTTTTTTTAACTACTTCCCACCTGGTCTATAGACAGCCGGGTGGGAGCACTTACCCATGCGATGTGATTTCTGGCAATTGCATCTCATTTTGCGATCTGTTTTGGGGTGTCATGAACATTGACACCAGCACCAGATCGCATGAACGCCATGCAATTGCAATGCAATGTGGGAAACGCACAGGATTGACAACATTTCCCGCACTGCATTAGTGTGAACCTGGTCTAAGGTGGTAATTGTACTGTTCTGACAATTAAGAGCATCAAGAAATGATAGACCATTATTACATCAGGATTGATAGATTTTCAAATTATATATACACACGCATTTGAAAATCGACCCTTATTGATGTACTGATGGCCTTCCAGGGAGAGCAATGTTACTTCCTAGATTCTAGGGCCAAGTTGTAAATCCATCATATACAGGTATACGTCTGCCTGACTGGGGAACAGTAGATGGAGATCCAGACAGAGAAAGCATCTGCTTGTCACACATCATGAGATTGTTGATCTGCAGTAAAACGGACCAAAGTGTACAGACTCAAACGAGGTTACCATGAGGACATTAACCTTCATGCAGAAGCAAGTCCTGGGAAGCCTGGTTGACCTGATAATCTGGCAAATTGACATCAGAGAAACATTCTTTTCCTGAAGAAGGAAAATTTTTGCCTGGGCTGTTTCCAAGATCAGCCCCAAATACTGAAAGGACATGGACTGTCTTTTGAATGCTGGAAAACAAGACAGTGGATGAGGCATCTTAATAGCAAGTCATCCAGGTAACCCGTGACATGGATGCCCTGAGATCTTAGAGCCAGAACTTGTGATTATTCTTGGTGCAGAGGAGAGTCTGAATGATGGTGCCAAAAAAAAAAAAAGGAAAATGTTGATTTACCACAGCAAATCGTAGAAAACAGCTGTGCTGGAAAGGCGGACATGTGAAGGCAGCCATCCGTGATGTCCAATGGTGTCAGACATTCCTCTGATCTGAAAAGCAATGACAGACCTTGCAGACTCCATGTGGAAATTAGGGACATGCAGATGTCTTTTTAAAGATTATAGGTCCAAAACTGGGGTCGATTTACTAAAACTTGAGAGTGCAAAATCTGGTGCAGCTGTGCATGGTGGCAAACAGCATCTTCAATTAAACTTTACCAAAAAAAAAAAAAGAAGAACTGGAAGCGGATTGGTTTCTATGCAGAGCCGCACTCTTCAGTTTTAGTAAATTTACTCCATTGTGTCTGCAGCTGACTCAAGGCTCCCCACAAATCTGCCCCTTTGAAGCTGGCAGATTGGAGGTTAGCAATCAGAGGGGGCAGGGACAGATATTCTATTTTCAAAGCCCTTGAAAACGACAGATTGGACCCAGAGGTCTGGAACATCTGACTCATACTGGCGCATATGCCAACAGATGTCCTCCAACTCTCAATTGTGAGGAGTGTATCTGGGTATACTTGATGATTTTGAAGACGCATTTTGATGCATGCAATGGACAGGATGGAACCCTTTTTGGCTTACAGAATACCTGGATGAAATGAAAGAACCCATTTTGGTGAAAAGAGGTAGCAGCCATGGTACTAGCAGGCACAGGCTATTTGTGGGGGTAGAAGTACCTTACCCCCTTGTAACTTCCTTCCTTCATTTTGAGGGTGAACCTCAAAATGCATGTGTAAACACCTTTTGCAAGCAATTTCAGTCAACAGAGAAGTGTTGTCAGAGACCTAGTGCAGTACATTATCTAAGGCATCAACACACAAATCACCAAAGGTAACTGTTCCAGCGGAACAGGGTCCTCAAGGACAAGATTGTCTTCCATTAATTTGCCCAGCTCATTTAATGACCTTTTGACAAATAGACATAGCCACAATGGTCGGTTGTAAGGCATGACCAGAGAGCGCAAAGGTTGCTTTCACTAGGGTTTCGAAGTGTCTACCAACATAATCCTTAAAAGGAGGGAACATCCTCAATAAGAACAGTGGCTTCCCATTGCCCAACAACTAAAATTCAAAAACAATAACATATAAAGCAATTTGTAACTCTGCCCCAAATTACATCACCAATCTTGTCTCCAAATATCACCCAAAAACCATCCTCTCCGCTCCTCATACGAGCTCCTGCTCTCTAGCTCCCTTGTCTTCTCCTCCCAGAAGTCTCCACGACTTCTCCAGAGCCTTCCCCACCCTCTGGAACTCTCTACCCCAATTTATCCCACTATTGCCTGCTCATTTTTAGGCGATCTCTTCAGGGAAGCCTATCCCGCCTTCAGCTAACGGAATCTTCTATTCCTCCTATCAGTTCATCCCCCCACAGTTATTACCTTTTGTAGCACTAGCCCCTCCCTCTTAGATTGTAAGCTCCAAGGAGCAAGGCACTCCTAACACTCTTGTATTGAACTGTATCGTTGCTGTATTGTCTCCCTTTATATTGTAAAGCGCTGAGCAAACTGTTGGCGCTATATAAATTCTGTATAATAACAACGAGAACAGAAATGACATTATCCACTACAAAAAGACATTTTTAAAATTAATTTCCATATTTCTTTTTATAGGATATAACTCTGCAAAGCGTTTTGGAAGAAGGAACGCCTTTTCAGGATTTGGCAATCCTCATGCAAAGCACAGTTAATTTGTGTGTGCAAACGAAAAGCCTTTCTAGACTTCGTCTATAAAGCACCTTTGGGCACTAAATGGCTGGCTAAAGAGATTATGGTGCTGCTAGGCAATGACTAGTACACACTGAATTGAGTTCACAGTAGAAAGCATATGGCGTGAAGCCTTGGTTTAGGTCTCATAACATGCATAAGGGCATATTTCCTCTTCAGGATCCTCTTCAGCATCCACGTCTTACTTAATATACAGTGCCTTGAAAAAGTATTCATACCCTTTGACATTTTCCAAATTCTTTCATGTTACAACCAAAAATTTAAATGTATTTTATAGAGATTTTATGTGTTAGACCACCACAAAGTGGAACATAATTGTTAAGTGGAAGGAAAATGATAAAATGGTTTTCAATTTTTTTTTACAAATATCTGAAAAGTGTGGCGTGCATTTGTATGCAGCCCCCTTTACTCTGATACCCCTAACTAAAATCTAATGGAACTAATTGCTTTCAGAAGTCACCTAATTAGTAAATAGAGTCCACCTGTGTGTAATTTAATCTCAGTATAAATACAGCTGTTCTGTGAAGCCCTTGGAGGTTTGTTAGAGAACATTAGTGATCAAACAGCATCATGAAGACCAAGGAACACACCAGACAGGTCAGGGATAAAGTTATGGAGACATTTAAAGCAGGGTTAGGTTATAAAAAAAAAAAAAATTCCCAAGCTTTAAACATCTCACAGAGCACTGTTCAATCCATCATCAGAAATGGAAAGCGTATGGCACAACTGCAAACCTACCAAGACATGGCCATCCACCTAAACTGACAGGCCGGGCAAGGAGAGCATTCATCAGAGAAGCAGCCAAGAGGCCCATGGTAACTCTGGAGGAGCTGCAGAGACACAGCTCAGGTGGGAGAATCTGTCCACAGAACAACCATTAGTCATGCACTCCACAAATCTGGCCTTTATGGAAGAGTGACAAGAAGAAAGTCATTGTTGAAAGAAAGTCATAAGAAGTTTGCAGGGAACTCCACAAACATGTGGAAGAAGGTGCTCTGGTCAGATGAGACCAAAATTGGGACATCAGCAAAAAACCAAAGTCCCAAAGAGTGGGAGGGGTTATGAAGAAGCACTGAGAGGGGGATCCAGCAAAGCTCTTGCCAATGTACAAACACCTGAAGGTATTGGCATATAACATGCTCTAAGAAAACAAGTCCTGTACTGTATGAGCAAGATACTTTGGATTTCCCATTACTTTTAGAATGCAAGTGACTATACATTATGTAGTGCAACTTTTACACAAACCTGCATTAACTGCATAAACTACCTAAACTGCCATCGTAAGCTAAAGGAATAGAACAATCTCCAGGCTTTGATTAAGTAACACCCACCCCCCATTCCAGAGAGAGCTGAATGATACAGTTGTGGTAAACATCAAAAGTACTCACTTGCTATAGTCATCAATTTCCCAAACATGGCAGTGTTGTTTGCTTCTGACTGCAAGAAACATAAAAACATTTATACTTGCTACATAAGTGTGTAAATGGTCCTCTCAAGCTTAAAGTTTACTTTAATGTACATAAAAAGTAAAGAACATAATGCAAACTATGTACATTAATCTTAAAGTGGGAGAAAAAGCAAATTACAAGTATTCCTAAAACTTTGCCTGTTCCTATCTATGCTGTATAGCCTGTATAAACAAAAACTCTGTATGCAATTTTTTCAATCTGCTCCAGTGGCATCTCATGGTCCAGCAGCTCCAGCTCCCCTGTGCCAGAGATTTTTGCTGCAGAAGTGGGGAGGCAGGGGCAACGGTGAAGCAAAAGTCGGCGAGTGACATCACAAAGCTGTTGCTGAGCTCTCCCTTACACAAGGGGGCGAGCCACAACTGTTGGATCAAGTGATTGCCCTGGCAAATATATATAAAAAGGTTTTTACGTGGATCTTTTTTGAAACAGGCTATGCAGCACCGATAGGATAATGCTGGGTGCCAGACTGACCATCATGGTTTAATAGAGTCAACAGTTGAGAGCAAAAACGCACACAAGACTTCAGTCTCACAATTCTGCATACTTGTTTCAGGCCAGTGATTTAGAACCAGTGAAATCAATGGGTCAGCATTACAGGTAGACAAAAGCATTTTCATAATGAAGTTAGTAATGCCCATTTATTTCTTAAAGGTTTCTTGTGACTTGAACCACTTGCTGCCTGCCCAAAGTACATATACTGCAGACGTGCGACACAGCCAGGCTGGGTGATATACCTGTACGTTGCCCACCGCATGTGCTCGAGTGTGCTGCACATGGGGGCGCACAGCGATGCAATACCATGACCCACTCATGGCACTCAATACCATAGGTTTTCTTTGACCGACCACAGTGATCGCATGATATTTATGTAGGCAAACTGTCTTGAATAAGTTTCCATTTATGACAACTTGACTACTGTTGTGATGCCAAGATTGGCTCACAGCTATCACATGGTAACTGGCTACCTGTACCATGTGATTAGCTGGAGCCAGTCACAGCTTAGCTGTCATGAATGGAAAACCATTCATAACAGCTAAAACTATTGCTTTTAACAGTGGACTTCACTGTTAAAAATGGATAACTGTGGGGGAAAAAAAAAAATCCCTGATAACCCCTCCAGAGTAGTACAGTGTCACTATGGCAACACTTAACTACTCTGATGAAAGTGAAAAAAAAAAAAAAAAGTAGTAAAAGAAAGTTAAAGAAAAAAAAATGTTTACAAAACTGATTTTTTTTTTTTTTTACTACCATCACCAGCCACTATCCTGATCTCCGCCACAAAAGTCATATGACGAATCTGTACTGCACAGGTGACTGCATATTAAAAAAATTTGTGAAAAACAAATTAATTTCTCAGTTTTTAAAAAAAAAGAGAAAAAAAATTATAAAAATTTAATTTGGGTAGCGTGTTGCATGACAAGCAATTGCAAATTAAAGTAGTGCAGTGCTGAATAGCAAAAAACTGAAGGAGGTAAAGAGGTTAAATAACTCGTTTGGACCAAGCCGGAACTATTTCCTTCATGAAGTGCTGCACTGACTCTAAGCACTGTATGAAATGTATATGTAGCATCAATTACATACAGTACACAGTGCTAGGTTCAGGCTCTGAGACAGACTTCCCAGAACAAAGCAGAGTCGATCTGAGTGGTGCTCAGCCATTCATAGGCAGCTTTGTGTTCTGTGAATACAAAGCTTCCTGTGATTGGCTGAGTTAGAGAATGTGAAGTCCTCAGCCCACTTCGGCCAATCACAGGGAGCTTTGTACTCACTTGCAGAATACAAAGCTGCCAATAAATGGCTGAGTGGCACTCAGACAGACTGCAATGTTTTGGGTGAGAGATGGGAAGTTTCTATCTCACAGCCAGAACACCCAGCACTGTGTACTGTATGTAGGTGAAGCTACATGCAGTACATACAGTACAGGATTTAGTGAAGGAAATGGTTTGTTTGGATCTGAACAAACTAAAGTGAAAGGAAACGTGGAGATCAGCTTTAAAGACCTGTTTACCAGTTTTTATCAGGCCAAACAAAAGAATCTTCTAACTTAATGACTACAGTAATTCAAGTTATATGTAGATCTGGCACATGAATCTATATAAACTTACAGGTGGCTGTTTGTGCAAGTCTAACAACTCCCGAACATGACTTCTTAGCATATTCTGACACTTCCACATTTCATTTAGTGCCCTGGATATAAACAAAATAAATCAAAATATATAACTAGACCAGACATATGTTAAAGAATAAAAACATCTGACTATACATACACAGCATAAGCTAAACGTACTGTAGAACTAAGGGCAAAAACAGTTTGTTTTTTTTAGAGAGCCCCATTGAGTAGATTTCCCTTCACCTCCAGCCCCAAAGCCAAAAAAGGAAGCGGGCAGAAATCCCTCCAAAGTGGGAGAACTAGTGTCCCACATGGAAAGACCTTCCCTCCAATATTTTCCTGGGATTATGTTTAACTTTTTATGCAAACAGGACAAATAGAGAGAGTGAATCTCCATAACGGAACAGGGACAGACAGCAGTAAAAACCTCGCCAATCCAAGTACAAAGAAAAAAAAAAAAAAAAAAAGGCAAGCAGTACAAGAAATAAAAGCCCCAGATAACATAGCCAAAAAGATAGTGCTTAGCCTATTAAGGGTTTCAAATATTTACTGTTACTTTCGAGGTATACAGTGTTGTGTGTTTAGGTAAAAATGACAGAACACAATAGACCCACATCATTAATTACTCACTTTACAGCATTAGAGTCCAAACTAGCGTACAAATAATATAGACATTTCATTCTTTCTTCTGTTTCCAGATTGTGAGGAACTAGGTACTGAGCAAAGATTTTCTCTACAAGTAACCTGAAATGAGAAAATGTTACTACTGTATTGCAAGTACATGTAATTATTCATTTGATTTACATTTTATATGCTACCACCTAGTCTAGAACTCTAAAATATGTCAATATGATGAAAGACATGCAGCTGAATTCAAGGGGGAAGGAAAAAAAAAAAAAGCCGCAAAGAGTTAAAGCAATCTAGACAGTTAATTTTGTTCCACTGCCTTTCCCTAGAATGCACATCTGCTGCTAGAAATGCTCACTCTGGAACAGTGAGGGGCTTATTTTTAGGAACACATATACCATTATCTGCAGCAAATTGCAATTTTACTCCACACCGCAGCCCGCATTTTCCCACAACGTTTTCTAGGCTTAATGCTGCGCACAGGATATTTCTTAATGACAGTTTAATGTAATTCTTCAATACATGAGTATTTCCCCATGTTTTCTCTCTTAAACAGCAATTACAAAAAACACATTTGGATCAGCCAGAAATCCAGTATGCACCTAACTTCCTGTTTGGGCTAACACAACACACTGCCTTTTCTATACTGAAATCCTAACAAGCACTGCAGACCGAGTCTCTGTTGGACTACTGAATTTCATCTGTCCTTCACTGTTCTGCCACTCTACATAAATACAGAAAATAACTTACAGCTACATGTACTGACAAATATGCGACTATGTAAACACACATGGATGTTTTGAGGTTGGGTTGACATACACTTTAAATCACCTAACACAGTACTTCATATTTATGACTACTGGGGACTCAAAGCACAAAATATGAAGGGAGAAGCAGAACAGCAGTAAGACCAAACACACCCAAAAACAGAAAAGGGAATTTCACTGCAAAGTTGCTTGGCAACACCTTCCACCCAAAAATGGCGCCACAGAGGTGTGAACACCAACCTGTTAAAAATTAGTTAACGTGTGAAGAGAAGACCAGGTAGAAGCCTTAAACACTTGAATAGACATTTTATACTGAATATCCCAGGAAGAATTCCTGGGTAAATCGGCCTTGAAGGGGAAAAAAGGAACTTTGCGACAGTCCAAGACCCTGAGATTCCTCCTGGAAGGACTTGCCTACAGAGGATTGATGATCATTAACAGCTATCACCTCTTGAGGATGTTCCTCCAACGCCTCATCTTCATACAAAAAGGAAGGGAGGGAAAAAGTACCCACACTGGATCTAGGCATTTCAAGCCAGGAAAAACCGCTAAGCGTTGATCGCACAAACCAGAAGCAGCTGCAAAAACTGCTCCCTCGACACAAAGTGAAGGATTGTGTCACTGAAAGCAAAGAACGAACTACCAGATAAGCGCAGGGATTCAGAACTACTGTGACCCTTCAGGGAGCTATTACAGAGTGTAATGTGCAGGGGGGCCTCCATACCTGATTGACAGATTTGGAAGCCCACCCCATTGTCCCCATAGGGCTAAAGACCACAAAAAGAACTCAGACATTCGAAGGCACATCCATCACTTAAGGTCACTACCTAAAAACTCAGGCTTAGCCAAGCTGGGAGGGGTTTTGCCTGGGCAAGGATTCTTGCCTTTTTGGCCAGCATTCAACCATCTAAACGTGACATCATAACCCAAGTAGTCATGACTATGAAGTCCTCCCATGTCCTGTGATGTATGATTAAAGGCTTATTCAAAAGGTCCCTCAGCCCTATACAGTGTGAAAAGCCATTTATTTACCTTCCTGTCCCAACCATGAGCTACGTGCAGGCAGCCAATATGAATGAATGGGCATGCATCGGCTGTAAGGACAGGACCTGGATGCACAGGCTCTGCATTGAGGACCAAGCACTCATCTCTGTGAACCGGTCAAATTCAGCTGTGCTGACAAGTCAGTATCCATTTACTCAAACAAGCTGCCCTGTCTTATCACACAGCGGAAGCAAAAGAATGTTACATCAGTTCCACTTTCAACGTGAAACGTCTTCACTTTCACACCTGAAAATCATGTAGTGTTTCTGGTTTTATTGCCCAACCACCATAAAGATAGATACAGTATCTCACAGAAATGAGTATACCCCTCACATTTTTGTAAATATTTGATTATATCTTTTCATGTGACAACACTGAAGAAACAACATTTTGCTTCAATGTAAAGTATTGAGTGTACAGCTTGTATAACTATGTAAATTTGCTGTCCCCTCAAAATAACTCAACACACAGCCATTAATGTCTAAACCGCTGGCAACAAAAGTGAGTACACCCCTAAGTGACAATGTCCAAATTGGGCCCAAAGTGTCAATATTTTGTATGGCCATTATTTTGCAGCACTGCCTTAACCCTCTAGGGCATGGAGTTCACCAGAGCTTCACAGGTTGCCACTGGAGTCCTCTTCCACTCCTCAATGAGGACATCACAGAGCTGTTAGATGTTAGAGACCTTGCGCTCCTTCACCTTCGGTTAGAGGATGTCCCACAGATGCTCAATAGGGTTTAGGTCTGGAGACATGCTTGGCCAGTCCATCACCTTTATCCTCAGCTTCTTTAGCATGGCAGTGGTCGTCTTCGAGGTGTGTTTGGGGTCATTATGTTGGAATACTGCCCTGTGGCCCAGTCTCCAAACAGAGGGGATCATGCTCTGCTTCAGTATGTCACAGTACATGTTGGCATTCATGGTTCCCTAAATAAACTGTAGCTCCCCAGTGCCGGGAGCCCCAGACCAATGACACTCCCACCACCATGCTTGACTGTAGGCAAGACACACTTGTCTTTGTACTCCTCACCTGGTTGCCACCACACACACTTGACACCATCTGAACCAAATAAGTTCATCTTGGTCTCATCAGACCACAGAACATGGTTCCAGTAATCCATATCCTTAGTCTGCTTGTCTTCAGCAAATGGTTTGCGGGCTTTCTTGTGCATCATCTTTAAAAGAGGCTTCCTTCTGGGGCGACAGCCATGCAGACCAATTTGATGCAGTGTGTGGTGTATGGTCTGAGCACTGACAGGCTGACCCCCCACCCCTTCAACCTCTACAGCAATGCTGGCAGTACTCACACGTCTATTTCCCAAACACAACCTGTGGATATGACGCTGAGCACGTGCACTCAACTTCTTTGGTCGACCATGGCGAGGCCTGTTCTGAGTGGAACCTGTCCTGTTAAACTGCTGTATGGTCTTGGCCACCATGCTGCAGCACTGTTTCGGGGTTTTTCAGCTCCTCCGAGTTCTTTGCCATGAGGTGCCATGCTGAACTACCAGTGACCAGTGATAGAGAGTGAGAGCGGTAACACCAAATTGAACACACCTGAGACCTTATAACACTAATGAGTCACATGACACCGAGGAGGGGAAAAATGGCTAATTGGGCCCAATTTGGACATTTTTACTTAGGGGTGTACTCACTTTTGTTGCCAGCGGTTTAGACATTAATGGCTGTGTACTGAGTTATTTTGAGGGGACAGCAAATATACACTGTTATACAAGCTGTACACTCACTACTTCACATTGTAGCAAAGTGTAATTTCTTCATTATTAGTCACATGAAAAGATAGAATAAAATATTTACAAAAATGTGAGGGGTGCACTCACTTTTTCTGCAGACTTCTGCGCACTTCAGCATGCGCTGACCCCACTCTGTCATTTTATGTGGCCTACCACTTGGTGGATGAGCTGCTGTTGTTCCCAGTTGCTTCCACTTTGTTATAATACCACTAACAGTTGACCGTGGAATATTTAGTAGGAAGGAAATTTAATGGATGGACTTATTGCACAGGTGGCAACCTATCATGGTACCACACTTGAATTCACTGAGCTCCTAAGTGACCCATTCTTTCACAAATGTTTGTAGAAGCAGTCTGCATGCCTAGGTGCTCGATTTTATACACCTGTGGCCATGAAGGTAATTGGAACACCTAAACCCAATGATTTGGAGGGTTGGCCCAAAACTTTTGGCAACATAATGTATCTAAGAAGGTTGCCATTGCTGAGCTTGTAACAATGAAGATTGCCTATCTCTAGGTACAACACATTCTCACAGTCTGCAAGGAAGCAGGCAGAAAAAGCCAGAATTCATTTCAGGTCAGTTCCCCAGAAAGTACTGAAGCCATTGCCATCTTAAGAAATCAGCAATGGCAGACTGCATAATTTTGGCATGTGTTTTTATTTTAAGAATTAAATAGAAATGTAAGGCAGAATATAAGGTGGAAGCAACACAGAAGTAAAGCGTTACAATAGGTATGAGCTAGATAACTGTACATGATTTTTTTTTCTATTGTAGACACTGCAAGGAATCAGCCTGTCTGTAGCTCCAAAAAAATGTCCTCAAATATTTCAACCTCTGAGCTCAGGGGAAAAAAAAGCTCTAGACACCGAAGTGTGCAAGCTAAATGAGGACCACCATATAAGGCAGTTCCGTTTCATCAGAATAGAAACCTAAGCTATGAAACAAAAGAATTAACAAGTGAAACTCAAAAACCAAACTAACTCACACATCTAAAATTGAGGCATTATACAAAATGGATGCCAGTTAATAAGACATTTGTCCTTACAAATACCGTATCAAAAAATCATAAAGGCCAGTCAAAGTTTAAAAAAATGAATTTTTATATTCTGTCAATGCTTTGGAACAGGGGTAGGGAGACTTGGAACTCCAGCTGTTGAGAAACCACAGATCCCATCATGTCTCTATCTCTGAGCCATTACTTTGGCTGCTTGCAATGTTTGGGGTCCAAGTCTTGCAATGTTTCATAGGATCTGTAATTTCACCACAGCTGGGCTGCCGAGATTACCTACCCCTGCTCTGTAAGAATGCAGCAGCATCTAGCTCAGGGGTGGGCAAACTTTTTGACTTGAGGGCCGCAATGGGTTCATATATTGGACCCGGGGGCCGGACCAAGAGTAGATGAATGATGTGTATGTGTCATCCATAGTAAGTATAGTAATATTCCCCCATAGTAAGCATAGTAATTCATCCCCCATATAGTAATTCATCCCCCATATAGTAATTAATCCCCATATAGTAATTCATCCCCCCTATAGTAATTCATCCCCCTATAGTAATTCATCCCCCATAGTAATTCATCCCCCATATTAAGTCCCCAAGTCCCCCGTGTCAATTCACTTACCTTTGCTCCGCGCGTTCCTCTCGCCGTGTTCCCGCGCCGTTCCGGGTAGCATGAAAATCTGTCTCCTATGAGGATCTGTCCCCCTGGACGTATCTGCGCATGTGCCAGTTTCAGGCATTAGCAGCCGATCGGCGATCTCCGGCACATGCGCAGATACGTCGAGAGGGGACAGATCCTCATAGGAGATAGATTTTCATGCTACACCAGTCTTCAGGGCGGACCGTGAGAGGAGCCTAGCAGGAGCCTAGCTCCGCGGGCCGGATTAAAAGGTCCGCCGGGCCGTATACGGCCCGCGGGCCGTAGTTTGCCCATTGCTGATCTAGCTTCTGTATCTCACAAGAAAAGCTCATTCTCTACTTGGAAAGCCAAGCAAATAAGCAAGCGATCCTCTAATGGACTGTTTCCTCTTCATGGTAGCTCACGCTTGCTCAAAGGCTAATTTCCCAGCCTTTTAACCAGGTTTATAGGATACCTACTTGTCATCAATGCTGTTTTGATAATAAATATGTAGAAGTTTATCCTTTATCCAGTTCACTTTGTCTGCAGCTTCCTTCCCAGCTTCAGCATGCAGGCAGTACTTCTTATATAGCTGGGCAAGACCCATCATTGCTTCTTTCCTTACTCTCCACTAGAGGGAGAGAGAAATACTTATTGAGACACTGAATGGTTGACGTCAATAAGTTGGGTACAAATGTCACTTTGCAAAAACGCATTACCTTAGATACTACTACTTAGCAACAACCATAGTCGCATTACACATTTGTAATTGTAAAAATACACTGCTGGCAAAAAAAAGGAGGAGGCATATTTAAAAAAAACAAAAAAAACACCTGAAGGCCAGTGGGATTAATGCCCTGTCCCACAATCTTGGACCAGTCCTTTAGCATGAGCCAAAAACGCTAAAACCAAGACAGGCCACAGTAGCATACAGACCACGAGTAAGCAGAATGGTAGCAGCCTTGTTAAGATTGTGGTAGATCCACTACAGGTGCAGCGGGCCCCTTCTAAAGAAAGCCCTCTGTAAAGGGGAAGAGGATAGAAGTGTTTTTGAGGGACAAAAGTGCTAAACAGGTGTCCCCAATCCTTTTACATAGAATTTACAAGGTTGAGGAAACACCATGGACAGCTTAAAATATGATGCTAGATTTCACACTTTCAGCTCTCGCCTCAAAGCAGTATTATTCCCCAAACAAAAATGTAATATATTGCAGCTTACAAATCCTTATATGTGGTCGCTGCATTAGTTTAGTTTTTAGGCTCCCCCCCGTTTTCACCTGGTAATCTGGCCAGTAACATGCTTCCTGTATTAGCGTAATCCCAGTCTGGATGAATAAGCACAGGGGGCACATTTGGAAAACAGTAATGTCAGTTGGGGGGAGGAGAGTGTTAGATGTACTAACATATTTAGCTATACTAACAGATTGAAGCCAAACTTCTGCCAACACTTTATAAGGCTCTATGCACACTAGTGTTTTTTTTATGCTCCTAGAAGCTAAACAGCATTATCCTATGTGTCCATGCACACTATTTTAGGCTAGTAGCATTTTTCAAGCTTCAGCATTTAAGGGCAGAAAAATAAAATTGTTTTTGTGAGGTTTTGGGAGTTTCTCAGGCAGAAAAAAAAAAAGAAGAAAACTTAACGCTACTAAAAACACTGCTAACAGCTTTTTTACAGCCTTTGTTTTCTACGTGTACTGTAAAAACACCACTAAAATGCAAGCGCTCCTAAACACTTCAAAATGCTACTAAAAAGGGATAAAGGTTTTACATAAACGAAAAAAAAAAAAAGATCATTGTAAGCACCCTTGCTAGTGTTAAATTATTTATCTAATACCTGTATACTAAAAAATCTGCAGGACAGCTTGTTCTTTTGAAAAATAGACTTACCAGCTGGATCACCAAGTGAAAATAGAAGAAAGCAAGCCTAAGAAAGAATTGGTAAACTGCAATATAAAGGTTTGCTTTTGGGTTCAATACCGCTTGAAGAGGGAAATAAAGTCTCAAGATTATTGGACTAATCTAATAAATTACACTCTTAAACCTGAATTGAACATGAGTTTCGGCTCCTAGGGGGAAAAAAAAGGTAACAATGCAACAAACACACAAAGCAGTAAACAAGTTTCCAAAAAACAATTCTCACTTGAAATCTCAAATTCACAACGCACAGAAGCAGACATTCTGTCTTACCCTTTTATCCAATGTTCTCTCACGCACAAACCCTAGTAGCTGGTCATTTACTAGAGAAAGATCTTTCCTCCCAGCAGTAATTATAGTTACTATAACATCATGCCGAATTGCTTCCTCGGGATCGTGCGACCTCACCTTCAGGAACTCTGCAGACAACATAGCAATGTATCAAAATATTTGTGTATAGTTATGTATCCAGGAGAAAAAGATACAATGAGTTGTGCATGTAAAATCAATGCTGGGGTACGAATTTTACCAGATAATTTACTTAGGAAAGTTTATTCTATTGTGCTCAATGGGTAAAACAAGGGGTCTCCAAACTATGGCCGACCAAGTTTTAAGGAACTGCAAGACCCAGGAGGCATTGAAAGACTCTGACAGCCACAGAAAAGACTCTCAGAGGCATGATGGGACTTGTAGTACTTCAACAGCTGGAGGGCCATAGTTTGGAGACCCCTGGGATAAACTAAAAACACTGAGGGTTTACTTTCGGTCTACTGTTAAGAGCACAGAACCAAAATTAAAGTGGTATTAAAGGACATATATAAAACCCACACAAATATGTTTTACTTACCTGCTTTGTAATTATTTTGCACAGAGCAGCCCCTATCCTCTTCTTGGGTTCCACCCAGCTCTCCTGGCCCCAACCTCCTGCCCCCAGAACAAGCAGCTTGCTATAAGGGCGTACCCAAGCAGGCTCACTCCTGAGCCGCTGTCCATTCACACACAGAGCCAACGGCTCCCACTGTTGTCTCAGGCAATAAGGGAGAGTCCCCGGAGAGCTGAGGCTCTCGTGCACATCGCTGGATCGCGATGGGGGTTCAGGTAATTATTAGGAAGGCTGCCGCACAAAGTAGGTTTTTTACCTTCATGCATGGAATGCATAATGGTAAAAAACTATGAGCTTTAACAACCACGAAGATATTTGTATAGACACCATAAAATGTTTTCTTACAGAGGATATGATTGGGGATGCCACGCGGGAGAACCATTATACAACTCTTCAGTGATCAGAGACCAGGAATCCAACAATCTCTGGAAGGGCTCGCTTATACTTTTGGAAGTTTCTGAAAAATGATCTGGAAGATCACTTTTAAGAGAATGGCATTCAGGGACTGGTAAAGGAGCCATTTAAATGGCTTTTTTAACAGATTATTTTTTAAAAAAAATTAAAATACAAAAGCAGCTCCATATACTTTTGAGTCGGCTGCTCACTGAACACGACAGGGAATAACTTTTTGCTGTGGAATGTGCACAACTACAGTCGTAATGTTATTTTTAAGGCAGGCAGTCAGAAGGAGGTAAATATGGTTCAACCATCAAATGGCTGGCTGACCACAAGTGTAAATGAGCCCAGAAAGGATGGAAAGTGCAGAGATCTGGTCCTCAACGGTATGAGAGGGCCAAATGGTGGTCTGGACCCAACAGGTGAAAAATGAAGGATCCATTCCAAGGAGGAACTCTGAAAGTTTCTAGACCCAAACAAAGCAAAGTACACCTACAATGTCCAGTGACAGACCTCGTGGGAAAGACTTGAATATTGCAGGGATAATACTCTTAACCACTAGCCCTCCAGAAGATTTACCCGCTTTCTGACCGGGCCATTTATTGCGATACAGCACTGCGTTACTTTAACTGATAACACAGGTCTGCGACTAAAAAGCTGTTTAATTATTTTCATCTAATTTCCATGTGTTTTGGTGTGCTGAAAACAAATAAAATATTGAAAAAACTCCTAGACGTCATGATTTGCCACAAGATGCAAAATTGTCTTCAAATTAATCAAATTTTTTTAATTTTTGGTATTTTTTTATATTATGGGTTTTTAACCAAAATATAAAGACCAAATTACTATTAATTAATTCACATAAGCGCATTTAAGATACAAAATGCCAAAAAAACCTTAAAGGGGTTCTCCGAATTATGTAAAAAAAAAAAATATAGCACTGTAAATCTGATCGTCAGCAACATATACATAAGCTAAGCAAGTTTTAAAATTCTATTTCCTCATTTCCCTAGTTCTCTTCTGGCCCTTAGTTGTTATTTGCAGGTAAACAATCTCTGTCCCTCCCCCCCTGCAAAGGGGGTGAATACAAGTGCTGCTCTGAGTGACATGTCTGACTACTGGGATACTCAGCAGCATGCTGTATGTGTAAGCCTCAGCCCTGAGTCTGTGCTTCTAATGGTAGAAGGGGTTAATCTTTCCTGAAGAATCCAGTGGGTGGGATACCAAATATCCTTGTTTTCTGTGTCTATGGGACAGTCGAGACCGACAAAATCACTGGACCAAGAAGAGTTGGCAGCCGAGGGTGCTAACAGTCGGTGAAAAAAATGTCCTCAGTGAAACTTTAGTACTTTCCCATAAATTTCCTCTACCACCTCTCCACATAAAATTGGGATTGATGAAGCAATTCGTAAAATCACTTCCAAGAGATGGAGAATGCTTCAAATACTTGGTCACCAAGTTTCCAGGCCTGTCAGAGGCAAAATTGAAGGAAGGTGTGTTTGTTGGACCAGACATTAGAAGGCTTATAGTTGATCAAGAGTTTGTCAATACCATGACGGATCCTCAAAAAGAAGGGTGGATTGCATTTAAAGAAGTCGTACAGAAATATTTAGGCAATAACAAAGATCCTCACTACAAAAAGATTGGACGAATGCTGAAAGCATTTCAAGCTTTAGGTTGCCTGATGAGTTTGAAAGTGCATTTCCTCCAGTCTCACCTTGACTACTTTCCTGAAAATTTGGGAGCTGTGAGTGAGGAACAAGGTGAATGAATCCACCAAGACATTAAAGAGATGGAAAAGAGATACCAGGGAAAATGGAGCATTACAATGACGGCAGACTACTGTTGGATGCTTCAGAGAGACATTCCAGATGCTACTCACAAGCGTAAATGCACCAAGAGGAGCCTCACAGGGAAGAAGAATCGAGTTTAGTGTGTGTAGGTGAGCTCATTTCAGTTCAAAAAAGGATTTTCATGAAAAAATTGTAATAAAACTTTAATTTTAGAAGTCTATTTCCATTTATTTTGAGGTATTACCTTATTTAACATAGTTACCTAAATTGTCAGGAAACGCGATGTCCTATGACAAAATGGAGGTCATTTTCGGATTCAGCACACCAAAAAACAAAGATTATGTGGAATAACCAAAACAGCTCTTGAAAAAATTTTTTTTGCAGACCTGTGTAATTGGTCATCCAACACTGCACCCAAATTAAATTTATGTGCACATTCTAAGTCCCCCACCTGTGACAAGTCCTGGAACATCTGAGTACAAAGACCACTCTACCAAGTACAGGTGCGGTCAGCTGTGAATTTGCCTGTCAATGGTCTACCCTAGAAATGGGCACAGTTGACAGGAACTGCTCTACTTGCATTGCTGCAAGCAAGACTCCCTGATAATTGATGTACACCACCGCCATGGTATCGTCTGACAATCCAGGGTGACTGACCTTATACCAGCTTAGTCCAAAGCTGGAGACATATCCAAAATCACCCAAAGTGCCAGGATGTCCACCAGAACAGGAACAGCCTTGGTGTCAATTGGATTGATTTGCCCCCCCCCCCCCCCTTCCCCAATGACAAAATGTCTTGTTGCAGATTCCCTAAATGGAAATAAGCAAACAGAACTGCCTAAAAATAGGCTACCAGACCCAAGATTCCTGCAAAATTAGTCTTGGCTGGTTGCTGGACTGGTGTGCATAAACCCAAAACTGGAGCGTAAAGTCTGATTGGTTGAAGCCACCGACGACTGTTAAATGTCCAGTATCTATCTGAACCTCTGTAAAATCTGGAGATTTCGATCAATAGTCCCTCGCCAACTGTTCCCTGAACATTGACCAGGTAGCCACAAACTCGATACCTTGTGAGTGCATGGGCAAACATTGAAGCCAGCACCTTGGTCGGAGGACAAGCTGAAAGGGGCACAATTATAACGCAGGGTCCCACCTCAAGGCACAGAAAAGATGGCTAAATGCAAACTGCCTCCCTTATGTCCACTTAGGTCAAAAAGTCCCCTTGACACAGTGAGACAATAATGGATCTAATTTATTCTAACCAGAATTTTTGGACACAATTAGGCATTTAAGGCTTTAAAGGTGCAGAATGGGGCTAATACTCTTGAATTGCTCTATGAATTTGGGAATGATAAACAGGTTGAAACACCTGAAAAATTCCACAGCGGGGACTAGGGAGATGACTCTTGGGCCAAGAGTTCAGAGGGAGCACGATGAAGATTGGCCAGGCATTAAAGAGACACTGGAAGATTGGAGGAGAAATCGCTAGGACAGGTAGGGAACAAAACTTGAGCTTGTAATCTTTTGATACCACCTCTTGTACACAAACGTCGGGTATACAAGATGTTGAAACCTCGCAAAGGCCAGAAGACATTCTCCAATATGCACACGGGGGAGCACTTTCATGCTTAGGATGGTTTGATCAAGGATTTGAGTAATTTGACATACCAGGTCATACAAGTGTCATGAAAGTCGAGGATGTATACCAGGTTATGCAGGTCTCAAACATGAATTATGAGAGTGTAGTGAAGTGAAAAAGGGATGCTTTTGAGAAGTTGCAAAAGATGAGGACTTGCGAGCAAGCTCCTTAAGCTTTTTTCTCTAGGGAACATGGGTATGATTACCCTTAGTAGCACCCCTGATGACAGAATCCAACATTATCCTTCAAAGGCCATGCAGAAGAAACACTTCTTGCAACTGAGTCTTGTAGTCCAGCAATTCAGCCACCAAGGCCTGCACAAGTGGCAGGACACCATTATGAGAAGACAAGAAGAAAATGTAAAGTAAAATACATCAGGTCCACACATCTATCTGTGGGCCATGGTCAGCATCGGTCCTATCATAGTGAAGGGATTTACCCATTCAGTCATTATCTGGCACAAAAGAACTATTGCCAGAATCGGGTGCAAAGTGAAGCCTGCCAATGAGAAGAGGCATAAAAAGAGCTTACGTCTTATCAGTGGAGTCCATAAAGTGGTTGTAAACTCTTACATATACCCAGTGAAGGGACTAGCATCAGGTGATACACAGTGACAAAACAAATCCTCCTGCATAAGTTTATTTGCAATGAATTAAAACTTTTTTGCGCTGCTATGTATGTAAAAAAACCCCAAACAGCTGTTTACACTTTAAAAATAAATCTAAAATGATGAGCTACACAAATACCTCCCTCCCATGGACATACCTATATACAAAACTGCAAACAAATAATATTGCAAGTATAAATAAAATATCCCATGTGAAAGTCTCTTAATTTTTATTCATTATACAACATGCTCTTATATTCTTGTGAAAGAATATTCACTTCCCCTCCTCCACCTATCACCAGATAAGCTCTTACCTTGTATGTATGACAAATAAAAACGCAAGGTTAAAAAAAAAAACAAAAAAAAAAAAAAAAAAAAAAAAAAAACACCACACATGGTATGTATATGTCCCCTTTAAATGGGATCTTCACCCTTCCAGCAGGATGCACTTCTTATCCTTCACTTATCCCGAGGACAACAGAAAGTAAAAAAGTAATCCAGAGTGTTTACCCAATAAAAACCTTAACTCTCATCCACTCTTTTAAAACAAAACTCACAATTTCCTGTGCACGTTAGCAGACCCACATATAATCACAAATTACAAGCATCACTGCCATAGAACCCCAATCACAAAAGCAGTACCGCACTTGGTATATACGTCATCCAAAGCACCACCCCAAAGAGTTTCCTCACAGGGACACGTGACTTCCACAGGGGGATCATGAATGGATGACCAGAATTCCTCTAACAGCCTGGGTCTGGGAGCCAACATTTTGGAGACCTATTTTGGCATCTATCAGTGCCATTTTGCCACAGATCTTCGCTATAGAAGTATATAGATTCCATTGCTTGGCACCATTTAATTGTAGATCCTATCATTATAATTTTGTAATCGATCTGACGGTACGGTGGATCTAAAATGTCTACATGCCTCTACACAAACGTTACATTAAATTTCTGTGATGTAAAAAAATGAGACAAAGATAAATCATTTCAGAACTTTTTTCATCTTTAATGTAACCTATAAACTGTACCATATACAGTATAATAAGGTTGCATAAGTGTGCACACCCTTAAATACTTTGTTGAAGCCCCTTTTGATTCTATTCCAGCACTTAGTCTTTTTGAGTTCAAAGTCTATCAGCATGGCACATCTTGACTTCACAATATTTGCCCACTCTTCCTTGCAAAAACACTCCAAATCTGTCAGATTGCGAGGACATCTCCTATGCACAGCCCTCTTTAGTTCATCGCACAGATTCAGGTCTGGGCTCTGGTTGGGCCATTTCAAAAAACTTTCATCTTCTTCTGGTGAAGCCATTCCTTTGATTTGGATGCATGCTTTGGGTCGCTGTCATGCTGAAAGATGAAATTCCTTTTCATGTTCAGCTTTCTAGCAGAAGCCTGAAGGTTTTTACCAATATTTACTGATATTTGGAACTCTTCATAATTCCCTCTACCTTGACTAAGGCCCAAGTACCAGCTGAAGAAAAACAGCCCCAAAGCATGATGCTGCTACCACCATGCTTCACTATGGGAATGGTGTTCTTTTGGTGATATGCAATGTTGTTTTTGCCACAAACATATCTTTTGGGATTATGGCCAAAAAGTTCACCCTTGGTTTCATCAGACCATAACACATTTTCCCACATGCTTTTGGGAGACTTCAGATGTGTTTTTTGCTATAATTTAGCCGAGCTTGGATTTTTTTTTCCTTCATAAGAAAAGGCTTCCATCTTACCCCATAGCCCAGACATATGAAGAATACGGGAGATTGTTGTCACATGTACCACACAGCCAGTACTTGCTAGATATTCCTGCAGCTCCTTTAATGTTGCTGGAGGCCTCTTGGAAGTCTCCCAGACCAGTTTTCTTCTAGTCTTTTAATCAATTTTGGAAGGATGTCCATTTCTAGGTAATGTCACTGTTGTGCCATATTTTCTCCACTTGATGACTGTCTTCACTGCGATCCATGGTATACCTAATGCCTTGGAAATTCTTTTGTGGCCTTCTCCTGACTGATACCTTTTAACAATGAGATCCCTCTGATGCTTTGGAAGCTCTCTACGGACCATGGCTTTTGCTGTAGGATGTGACTAAGAAAATGTCAGGAAATGCCTACTAGAACAGCAGAACTTTATTTGGGGTTAAGTATTAGCAGTTAAATGCTACAGGGCGGCACCTATGCGCAAAATCACGTATATGTGATTTTGCATTTCCGGGTAGGGGGCGCACACACACGCCCCACCATTCGCGGATGTCAATCACCGGGTCCCGGACGGTAATTACCGAGCATCTGCGACGGGAAGGAAGATTGTTTTGTTTATACACGATCTTCCTCCCTGTCAGCTCGCTGTGCACAGTACAGCCATCCTGATCAGTGAGCTTACAATGAAGTACACACCCCACACCCCCTAGTAAAACACACAGTTAACCCTATGATCACCCCTCACATTAACCCCATCCTGCCCAGTGCCATTAGTACAATGTCAGTGCTTTTTTTTTTTTTTTTTTTTTTTTTTTTTAGCACTGATCACTGTATTGGTGTCACTGGAGATGTCAGTGACACCAAGTTAGTTCCTCCCCAGTGTCAGAATGTCTGCCGCAGTCACGCTAAAAGTCGCTGATCGCCGCCATTAGTAGTAGAAAAAAAAAATCCCATTATCTATACCCCCTTTGTAAATGCTATAACTTGCACGTAAACTAATTAATTTACACATATATTTGTTTTCACCAAAGACATGTAGCAGAATACATTTTGGCCTAAATTTATGACAAAATTTGAGTTTATTGGATATATTTTATAACAAAGTAGAAAACGTTTTTTTTTTTTTAATTTTCAGTCTTTTTTCATTTATATATCACAAAAAAAAGAAAAAACCCAGTAGTGATAAAATACCACCAAAAGAAAACTATTTGTGTGAAAAAAAAAAAAAAAAAAGGACAAATTTTGCTTGGGTACAGCGTTGCATGACCACGCAATTACCAGCTGCAATAGCGCAGTGGCAAAAAGCAAAAAATGGCCTGGTCAAAAAAAGGGAAAACCTCAACTGAAATTATAAGAGCCTTGTTATACGATAGCCAGAACCACTGCTAAATGGATCACTTAGTGACAAAACTGCTCATTAAGAGGGTATAGCGGCTTCAAGCATTTTGGATGTGCAAAAACCCCATTAGGATGCATCCAATTATACAGGAAACAAATCAAAAAGAGGTTTGGAGGCCCTGGGACTCAAGGCCAGAGAAAAAAATAAACTAATCTTTTTAGGGTGTGGCACACTATCAATAGGAGCCAAAATGGTCCTATTTAAATTAAAAGACAACTGCAAACCTAGGCAGCTGGTGGACAACACCCAAGACCAGAGGGATTATGCAGCAGGAGAGGTCACTCAGTACGGACTCAGTTTTCATTTTAATTTGGGTATCATCAGCGTTCTAGGGTCGTATTTAAAACTGAGCAGTTTATGCGATCTGTAGCACACTGCACCTGCATTTTACAAGTCATTCATAAAATGCAGGCTGTTGTGTAGAGTATGCAGTGTCCTTTGAAAAGTTCTCAGCGGTAAACAGTCAGCAGACCGGGGGGTGAAGAGGGAACAACCAAAGTATTCCCCTAAAGACATAGTTCACCTTTACCAAAAGGAAAATAAAGCCTATGTAGATAAGAGACATCTGAAGACAAACTTGTACAATTTTGACCAAAGTTTAAAAATGGCCTTGCTATAGAGGTATGTAAAATGGCCTACACCATGAAGCCTGACTGATTAAAAAAAAACTCCCAGAAATTGCATCTCCTCATTCAGCCTTGTTGTTACGACGTTGCTAAAGACATGCCCAGCTTTTTCAGTCAAGGTTTCAGGAGATACGTAAATGGTTCACACCTATAGGACTCCAGACATCCCTTATCTGCACAGGCATTTCTTTTTGCTAAAGGTTACCTATGCCTTAAAGTGGTTTCATTTGCCTGGTTATGCATTGTGATGAGGAGAGATACAAATCCTATGAGAGGTAAAACAGATCTCATATGCTCATTTCATCTGAGTATTTTGCTGTTTGCCCGGGAAGTTATGCTTTAACACAGACCCTTACTTTTCCCCGATGCGCACATTAAACTTTGCAGAGGAGCAGCAAAGTAGTGAGACACTCCCCAGGACTAATTAACCACTTGAAGACCAAGCCTTTTCTGGCATTTTTTGTTTACATGTATCAATATTTTTTGCTAGAAAATGTTTTAGAATCCCCAAACATTACATATTTTTTAAGCAGAGGAGCTAGAGAATAAACTGGTGGGTTTTGCAATTTTTGTTATGTCACACAGTATTTACTGAATTTTAATGCAAAGAAATACAATATTTTACCCATTATATGTGTAAAATATAAAAGATATTACGCCGAGTAAATAGATACCAAAACATGTCAAGCTTCCCCTCCCACTGCTTGTAATAGCAATCTAGTTAACCACTATGATTGCTATTACAAGAGAACCGATCATCAGCTCGAACAGAAAAATGGTACCAGGATGAAGGCATCACCCCGATGTAACAGCTAAAAATCTAACGACGTATGTGTACGCCGCTGAAGTGGTTAACTTGGTGTTTCAGTGGGGAAAAAAAACCTCAAAAATAAGCAGATCTCCTCTGTTCCCTGAGAACGTACCTGTAAGATCTTTAGCCAGATCTGGATGGTTCATTAAGCAGTGGCTTGCAAATTTTACACTTTCCAATCTCACAGGTACGTGGATATCATTAAACCTAGTTAGGAAAAAAAGGCAATGAATTATTAATAAAAATAAAATGCAAATTAAAAGCACTTCCTCACTTAATGGGGTGAAAAACAAACAAAAAGGGAGGGAGTCCACTGAACACTTCATGCATTTAAACAGTTTATAAAAGTAACATATTATAGAATAATTCCAGGCATCGGCATGTTATACAAAGTTTCTTTGCTCCAGATTAGCCCAACGTAACTATGTATATGAAGTATCTGGCCGATGCCTCTGGAAGTTGAAAATCACTGAAGATGACATTGCTACTCTTGTGATCTCCGCTTTTGGGTCCCGTGCTGAGCGGCTGGCCCAATGCATTGTGAATAAAGGAGACCAGCCACTCATGGGCACCATTTATAGAATGCTTTGCATTTCTGAATGAATGCAACGTATTCTCTGACTGAACAGGGTGGAGAGCATGACATTACAGCCCCTCTTCTAATCAGAGAAAGCTTTGCTGTCATTTAGAAAACCACAAAGCATTCTCTAAGCTGTCCCCATGCCAAGCAGCCAACCTCCTGTGTTCACAATGCAGACACCCTGAAGTGGATCACATCTTTTCCTGGAAAAACCATTAGCCTTTCATCTGGTTCTAATGCGGTCAATAAAACAAATTGTATTAGGTGTCTGGTATAGAAATTTACATAATTTTCACATTAGGTATTTAAAACAAAATATACATTAGAGATTTCAACAACCATTTCATTGTAAATTATTCAGACAATATTTTTTTTATCGTTGAACTAAATTTTGCCAGAATTTGGAATGAATTTCTCATAAAACCAACTCATGTAACTAAAATACATGAGCATTTGAAGAATACAATTCTTCAAAGGAAAGGGGTTACATTACATTTTTTTTAATGTAACATCAAATTTTAATACAAATGGTTTTCTGAGATAAGACTATATATGTAGAAATATTAAGCTACTCTTAACTGAATTGCAAAGAAAACAATGCATCTTCTATTAAAATTAGATCTTTAGATTTAGCCTTTGTTCACATCTTCACAGTTCGGCAAGCCACATTGGCACGGGCACAGCATTCCATTCATTTAAATAGGTTGCTGTACCCACTTCACAGAAACTACATGGTGCTATGGCACCAGCATGCGGGAAACTGCACTGGGTTTTTCAGTGCGTGGGGGTGCCATTAAAAGTTGGATGTTGATCATTATTATTATACACAATTTATATAGTGCCAACAGTTTGTACAGCACTTTACATTATTAAGGGAGACAGTATAAATTACGATAAAGTTCAATAAGGCAAAGGGGGGCCCTCCTCATGAAGCTTACGATTTAAAGGGAGGGGGAAGTGCTACAAAAGGTAATAGCAGCAGGGGATGATCTGAAGAGGGGGCCAAAGTACAGTTTTTAGGTGGAGGTGGGGTAGGCTTCACCTGAATAAATGCGTTTTCAAGGATCGCTTAAAAGGCCGGACATACTGGGTTAGGTAGCTCCAGGGAATAGGAAAGGTTCTAGAGAAGTCCTGAAGAAGAGTATGGGATGAGGTCAGGAGGGAGCTAGAGAGCAAGATGTCTTGGGAGGAGTGGAGAGGACAATATGGGTGATAGCTGAAGATGAGGTTGGTGATGTAGCTTGGGACAGGGTTATGGATGGCTTTGCATGTTGCGGTTAGTATTTTGAATTTTATATGCAGGGCTAGTGGAAGTGACTTGGAAGCTGTGGGAGGTTATCCGCTGGCTCAGGGAATAGGTGTAGAGAGAACAGAAGAGGCCCAAGGCCGGAGCCATGGGGTGCTTCAACTGAAAGAGGAAGAGCAGAGGAGATAAAAGTTGTAGGTGACACTGAAGGTGCACTGAGATAGGTAGGAAGAGAACCAGAAAAGAGCCGAGTTGTGGAGGCCAAGAGAGTGGAATTTAACCACTTTCCGACCGCCCTATAGCAGAAGTACTGCTACAGGGCAGCAGGGATGCGCAAAAATCACATACATATATATATATATATATATATATATATATACATACATACACACACACACACACACACACACACACACACACACACACACACACACACACACACACACGTGCTTTTGTAGTTCCGGGTAGGGGACACGCGTGCGCTCCCTACGCGCGCCGGTATTGGCTCCTCGGCATGTCAATAACTGGGTCCCAGCCGCCAATTCTTGGCCTGAACTTGGTTATCATCAGCAGAACTGATAGGGGAGAGGCCTGTATATAAACAGCACAGATCTCTCTCCTGTCAGCACGAACAGGCTGCTTGGTATTGCTATACACAGCAGAGCAATACAAAGTTAACATTGTAAGTTAACATAACAGCGCCATATCACAAAATATGGCCTGGTCAGGAAGTGGGGGGGGGGGGGGTAAACCCTCTGGCAAGCAAATGGTTAACGAGGAGTGGGTGGAAGACTGTGTCAAAGGCAGCAGAATGGTCTGAGTATGGAGTAAGAACCTTTAGTCGCAACATCTGCTCCTCTGATGACCATGTTGCCTGAACTGAACGGTGCTCCAGGGCACCCACCTAGCACGACAGGCTGGCATCCATCACCAAAACCTTTCAAATCATCAGAATGAAGGATTTCTAAGTATACAGCATCTATGTGCATATCCATTACAGGGCAGGCCTAGTCTTGAGTCAGATACATTAGCAGATCGAATAACTGGTGGCATTCATCCCAAATTGACAGGATATTAACCTGCAACACTCTGGAGTGAAAACTAGGCAATAATGGACCGCCTGAAAGGGGGCTACTAACATTTTTAGCACCTACATTCAAGCCCGGTTGAGTAATTCCCAAAGACTGCAAGGACTCTATCTGGGCTAGAAAAGACAGGCAAATGTCCTGCAGAGGTAGTACCCACGCCCATGCCGAGTTGAGCAACAAGCCCAAGTATTCAAGACATTGCGTAGGAACCAGGGTTGATTTCTGAAGCTTCCGTACCCAGTCAAACTACTCCAGGACTTGAACTGTGTGCTGGACATTTCAGGTCAGTTTCTGAGTCAATTGCAACCTGAGGAGCAGGTTGTCCAGGTAACCGACAATGGGGGTACCCCGTATGCACCACCTGTGCCTCCTGGGCACCAAAATCTGCCCATCTTTTACGTTGCACGATCTAAGTGCCCATATGCGTCTGAGGCCTATAGTGCTAGTGTAGTGCCTCAAAAATAAAGATACGTGGATTGAAGCCAATCCACAGACCACTGTCTCAAGAGGACAACGGGCCTTATAAAACAAAGGACATTGGGAAATACGTTTTCTGTATTACTTTTTAACCACTTGCCTACCAGAACTTTTACCCCCTTTCTGCCCAGGCCAATTTTCAGCTTTCAGTGCTGTCTCAATTTGAATGAAAATTGCTCAGTCATGCAACACTGTACCCAAGCAAATTTTTTACATTTTTTTGAGACAGAGTTTTCTTTTGGTGGTATTTATTTTTTTCTGCTAAACAAACTAAAAGAGTGCAAATTAAAAAAAAAAAAAAAGTTTCTTAGTTTCTGTTATAAAATTCTGGAAAGAAGTAATTTTTCTCCTTCACTGATGTGCACTAATGAGGCTCCTGTGTTGGGCACTGATAGGCATCACTGGTGGATACAAAGGCAGCATTCATATATGGCGCTGTTAAATACCGCTTACCGGCTCTTCTCTCCTCACACGCTGTCAACGTGAGTAGAGGACTGCCGATAACTGGCATTTCCTATTTACATGCCATCAGCTGTGATTCCCAGGGACACAGCGCACCACTGACCACTGCACTGCGCGCCCCCGGGGACATGTATGCGCAGCTAGAGTTGGAGGACGTCATTTGCCGTCCTCCCAGAACAAGAGAACCAGCGCCATCCTGTCATTTCCTTATATGGCGGGCGGGAGGCAGTTAATCTTTTGATGTTTCTTACCAGAAGTTTGATCCCACTTGAAATGAAATGGCTATATATTTTTTTTTTTAACAATCTGTGTAGCTATAAAACCCCTTAAAGTAGATCTTTACCTATAACAGCTTAATAAAAAAATGTTCTTTAGCAAGGAACATACATTACACATAATTATGCAACCAAACTTAATGTGTTGTAAATTGCCCCTAGAATTGTTCCCGTTTCTTCTTGCTGGAGGATGCTATTTTTACTGAAACCCAGTGCCCCGATTTTCAGCACAGTGCCGAAAAACAAAGGCAACTGAGCATGTGCACAGCAGGGTAAGACAGTTAATGGATTTTAAACATTATACAGGCTTATTTTGAATGTTTTACATAGCTATACACGCAAAAGGGGCCGGCCTAAAATAATCTGGTCAGACTTAATTTCCTGACTTAAGTTCAACCTTACAGTCAGAAACTTAAGTCCTATATACTGTTTAAAATCTAGTAAGACCCTGCCTCACCCTATTCTGCACATGCTCAGTTGCTCTCTATTCTTGGCACTGTGCCCAAAATCAGAACCTCTAGAGGCCAATAGTGTCTTATCTCCCCGATTCTCTCTCCACTGGCAGCCTGTGAACTTCAGCACTGCAAAGATTCTGTGAACCTTCCTCTCTAATTTTGTCAAGACATACAGTGCCTTGAAAAAGTATTCATACCCCTTGACATTTTCCACATTTTTCCATGTTACAACAAAAAACATAAATGTATTTTATTGGGATTCTATGTGATAGACCAACACAAAGTGGCACATAATTATGAAGTGGAAGGAAATGATAAATGGTTTTCAAAATTTTTTACAAATAAATATCTGAAAAGTGTGGCGAGCATTTGAATTCAGACCCTTTACTCAGATACCCCTAACATCTATCGGAACCAACTGCCTTCAAAAGCCACCTAATTAGTAAATAGTGTCCACCTGTGTGTAATTTAATCTCAGGATAAATACATCTGTTTTGTGAAGCCCTCAGATGTTTGTTAGAGAACATTAGTGAACAAACAGCATAATGAAGGCCAAGGAAAACAGACAGGTCAGGGATAAGGTTGTGGAGAAGTTTAAAGCAGGGTTAGGTTATAAAAAAAAAT